TGACAACCTTCTCTTCCCATGGCTCACCTGCTCTCAGCAGGTCTCTGGCCCAGGCCCTGACACTTTGTCAGGTGCTGCTGGTTCTGCCCAGCTGCAAGGGGTTTCACAGAATTCCACACTGGTTTGGGTTGGAAGTTCATCCCATTCCAGCCCCTGCCATGGGCTGGACACCTTCCACTGTTCCAGGCCTTGTGCAACCTGGCCTTGGACACTTCCAGGGGTGGGGCAGCACAGCTTCTCAGGGCAATGCTTGAGCAATTAATGTTCTGTAAAAATTCTGAACTGTTTGCTGTTTAAGGACTCTAAAAAACTGCCTACAATTATGAAATGTTATAAAAATCCTTCAGTGAGATCTGTACTCAGCAACTGTTCCTAATTACCAATGGAATTTCTAATGGAATGAGATCAGTGCTCTCACTAGTGAGGACAACACGACAGTCCTCAAGTAACTTCAGGAAAACATTCATCCCACAAGAGTCATCAGAACAGCCTCCAAGGACCACAGGCAACTGAGAGGAGTTCCTTGAGTACTGAGTATTTAAAGCCAAGTTTCCTACAGAACTGAGGCTGTGCAGGGCAATTACAATCCTGAGAGGAAACCTTAGGAGGCAGCTTCAGATTCTGTAACACCATGAACATCATTAATCCATCTCCACAGAAACAACCCTGAAATAAAAACTTTATTGTCTTTATCATGCAGAGAAACCTTTAATTAAAACTTAAAAATGAAAAAAAAAAGAATTGCAGAAGTCAATCCAGAGCCAAACTCCTCCACACAAACCTATGCAAAATAATTGAGCATTAAATGCTGCTTTCCAAAGAGGATGCAAATAAAATCAGGGCTCACTGAATTAAGTAAAAAACAAGTTTAAAGTGGGTCCTTGGCAAACCCACACCTCTTCCCATTAGGTTTCTCAGCTCTGGCACTTCAGAGCTGCAGGTGAAGGTGATAAGCTGGATTCTCACAAGGAGGAAGAAAAATTCCCTGCCAAGTGCAATGTAGCTCAGTCTTTCAGAAGGACACAGCACGAAGCACTGAGTGCTGACTGATGGGTTTCACTGAGATGGAAACATTGTGCAGAAAGCAACACAGGGAGATGGAACTCAGCCTCTCCCACTACTGACACAACTCCTGATCACAGGCATGAAAAATAAATGAGCGTTTGCAAATCTGCAGGATGACAAAAGTTTGCTTGAATTGCACCAAATACAGGGCAAGTATGACTAAAATAGGTCAAGGCATTAGGGGTTTTGGCTCAGCAGGCCTAGGTGAGGAAGAAATCAAAGGAATACTTGGAAAAACATCTCTACTTTAAGCCACACTAAGCTGGCAATGAATCTTCTGTTGTGAGTTGCACAAATGGCTTATTTGAAATTTTTTTGGCAGAAGTGAACACCTCTAGGAAATGTAAAGGTTTTTACATTTTACACTGGCAAATCACCATGTCCTCAGGTGGCTCCCAAACCAGCCAGGACAGATGGTCACACAGAAAGAATTTCCTAGATTTCAGCTAACAAATCACACCCACAGCACCCCTGGATGAGGAATACCAAGTCCTGAAGCACTCAGCTCACTTGGTTTTCCACTGCCAAGCACTTCCAGAGCTCGGATGTTCCAAAAGATCCCCGTTGTTTCAGTGTTCAGCCCACCTGGCTGCCACACAGCAAATCAGTCAAGCTCTGTGTTTGCTGTATAAAAACCAGCAAGTCCTACCATTTTTAGCTCACATCATTTTTAAGTGAGTAGTCATTAAAACCTAGACACTTGCTCATTGCTTTAGAATCCATGGAATTGATTGATAATTAATGGCTCTGGCTACCCATAACTACTGACAGACTGACTCCTGTGCTAAAGGCAGAGGGCTCCATGCTCATTAATTAGTGAGAGCTTCTTTAAATTCACCAAGAAAACTCATAGCACCAAACTGCTGAGATTGTATCAGTGAGAGAAGACAATGCTGGGCAACTCCTTAGTTTATACAGACACATCAATCATCTTTTTATCATCTTTTTATTATCTTTTTATTCTGATTTATTGAGCTCTACACCATGAGAGAATGCTTGCTTATCTTCCAGGGACTGTGACTCAACTACAGAGCAATGTGGGCACCAGGGATGTTCAGCATTTGGGAAAACAGATGTTGCCCAAATTTGTTGTACAGCCTGCCAAAAAATTACTGGCACCTAGCAAGGTGTGTGTGGGAGAACTGCAGAATGAGTAAAGCTGCATAAACAAACATATTTATTTTTTAAAATCATTTGTAGAAGTGACTTGATGCTCAGTGGCTGAAGGAAGCTGCAAAGGAATGAGTTCAGCAAGTGGCAGCTCCTTCCTGGAGCTAAAGGAAGTCATGCAGGGCTGGAAGCTGCACTAACACACATCTCAGGTAAGACAGGTTAATAAAACAATTTATGGAACTTGAGCTCTGAATTTTGTATCATTTTACATCTCAGAACAAGGCTGCTTTTCCCAACGTGCTCAGTTACACACCACAGATTGAATGCACAAATAGAGAGGTGCCTTACAGAGGAAGGGATCACAGCAGCCCCTTCCAGCCTGATCTAACACAAACATTCCCAGCACAGCTGTTTCCCAAGAATCAGCAAGAAGAATTTGCTATCTCTGATGGGATTTTCCAGCATCTGCAAGGCAGAAGTCATTTGTGATGACCTGAAGCTGACCAAAGCCCAGCCTCAGCTCTCCAGAACCACAGGCAAGGCCTAGGATTAGCTGTTACCCTCTGGGGCAGCCAGGCACAGCCTGGAATTCCAGGATTTCAGATCTGAAGGGACAGCAGTGACACTGTGAGTCACCTCCCCTGGGAGAAGCACAGGGGACAGCCCTGGGTGCAGGGGTTTGGCTGTCACACACCCCACACTGCCAGGACTCCCCTGCACACAAATCCAGAGATGGATTTGCACATCTGCTCATACAGACACTGCACATGCAAGCACACATCACAGAGTCATTTGTGATGATCTGGAGCTGACCAAAGCCCAGCTCAGCTCTCCAGAACCACAGGCAAGGCCTGGGATTAGCTGTTACCCTCTGGGGCAGCCAGGCTCAGCCTGGAATTCCAGGATTTCAGATCTGAAGGGACAGCAGTGACACTGTGAGTCACCTCCCCTGGGAGAAGCACAGGGGACAGCCCTGGGTGCAGGGGTTTGGCTGTCACACACCCCACACTGCCAGGACTCCCCTGCACACAAATCCAGAGATGGATTTGCACATCTGCTCATACAGACACTGCACATGCAAGCACACATCACATATCCACTGTCTGTAGGATCCTATTACACATGTAAACAAGTCTCAGAGGAAAGAAAACTAATTACCATTCCCATATTAATCCTATTGGGCATTGCAAGTATTTCTTAAGAGCCAGGATGGGACCACAGCAGTGTGACTCCACAACAAAGTGTTTATGTAAAATATGACATCTCTGCCACAGGGAACCAAAATAACTCAGGCTGCTTCTCTCCCCTGCATTATTCATTCTCTCCACAAAGACATCACTGGGTTTTTTTGATGTCACCACAAAACACACTACAGAAAACGCAGCACTACCTGGTGCTGTCACTACCCACACATTAAATTCAGATAAGCTCAAAAAAGAAAATTAAAATGCCATAATACGAATTTTAGAGATGCTTACGAGACCACTAGGAGTTTAATAAACAAAAAATGTCTTTCCCCCAAAAAATTATGATTTAGAAGATTATACAAAAACCCAGTCAATTTCCTTTTTCCTTCTTCAAACAACTTGCATGCAATTAGTGTAGCAGTACCTATTTTGGAGGGCTCACCTCTGGTTTTGAGGGAGGTGTGTCTTTTAAATCAGGCAGCATTTTCCCTTCTGTGGATTCCCAAGATTTCCAATCTCTCAATGAGGCTGAGAGGTGCAGGATAGCAATTTGAACCACTCAGGGGGTGGAATGGGATGGGCTTTAAGGTTCCTTCCAACCCAAACCATTCTGTGATTCCATGATAAAACAAAACCACAAAGACCCCTCTCTCTTCCAGAGGAGGTTTGTAGGTAGTTTTTCCCAGCTCTGCTCTATGTTCTCATCTCAGCCCTGCAAACATGGATGAATACCAGAATAGCTACAAGATCTCATGAATCAAAAAAAAAGCTGGAAAGATGAACTTGCAATCCTGGTATTTCCTCTTGAAAAAATGAGATAAATTAGGTGCACTGCCTGACTGTACTTTCAATGAACTCTTCAAATCAACACTTGCTTACCTGGAAACTTTCTGCAATCTTAAAGGTTAACTTCAACAAAAGTGTCAGAAGAGTTTAATTAGAACAAGAGGTCTTGAGGTGTGAGTTCCATGTGCTTGAGGAATACATCCTTGTAGTGTAACATGATGGAATTTTGGAGATACAAAGGAGAAATTGGCACTTTTGCTCAGAGGTGAGCAGTACATCTCATTTGTGTTCACCAGGCCATGTTCTGCTTTGCCCAGTCCATAATACATACATGAATATTAGGATCAGTAGGAAGAAAATAGAAGTTTCCATTCCTGTTCTTTAAACTTGCCCAGATTTGTCCTGGCTTTATAAATACATGCAACATGGAAGAGCTCTGAGTAAAACAGCTGCCTTTGGAAAAAGACAGAGAGAGAGGAGATCTTTTCACAGATCTAAGGCAAAGGTCACTCATGTCACCATTCCAAACCAACTCACCATCAGCTTGCTGCACATGCACAGCTTCAGGGGAATCTCAGACACAAGAAGGGAAAGATCATCTGTTTTGGGGCTGTGACCACATTATGGGCCACAGCCCCAGCACACGGTGACTAACACTGCTGTGTGCAGTTTGCTTTCCCAGAGAAAGAGAAAGCACTTTTTGTTTGAATAACTGGCTGCTGATACAATGAGTCACTCAAGCACCTCGAGCAGCAGCTCCACCACTCCAAAAGGACTGGCTGGGAAGTGCTGAGTACAGAATGTGTGCTTGTTTAGGAACAACCTGCCTGAAATAAACCACTGACTCACCTTGTCGCGCAAATGATGCTCTGCAGCCTCAATATTCAAAGGATCGTCAAAATTCAAAAGATCCTGGAAAAGAAAGAGAGAGCATTGAGGGGCTCCCACTCACTGCATCACCAGGAGCCCAAAGGCCTCAGGAGCAAGAAAATGGAACAAAGCAAACAGGGCAGCAGGGGCAGTGCCATTTCATCATTTAATCACTGCCAAAGGTAAATGGAAACGAGTAATTTGGTAATTGGAAACCAAATCACAGGGCTATTAAATGGTAACAGCACCAGGGCATCTAAGCCTTTCTGATGTGGGCTCCATGACACTTCTCCCTGGAAGTGAAAGTATTTCTATCAGAAAACTCAATTTTAGAGGAACAGTCAAACTTTCAGGAGGCACAGTTCCTGCTGATTTTTATTAGAGGGCAAAGTAAACCTTGAAAAAAACTTCTGCAAACAGTGTGCTGATAAAGCAGGAGTTACCTTAATTTCACCTCCACAGAAAAGCAATTTCACTCCCTCTGGGAAGAAGCTATGTGATCTGGAGCCTGACAGGGGAGTTTTAGTGCTCTGGGAAAAGCAGGGGAGTGGAAGTAGAGGAAATAGTGGAAATAGAGGTAAAAGAGTGCAAAGACCCTGAGAACTAAGGACAGTGGGGTCAGGGAGCAGAAATAGTCCTGACAAACCTCAGGCCTCTCAATTTAATCTCATATATTAACTTTGGAAGGAGAAAGGGTCTAGGGTTAAAAACAATGGAGTAGAGGAATCAGCATTAAAAATAACACTGAATCACAAGTGGTAGATAAAACCAGCACTGAGAGTTAAAAGAAACAAGGGGAAGGATTCCACTGATTGATGAATTGAAAAAGATATTTGCCTTTACTAACAAACTGTAGGTTTGCTGATAAATAAAACTGGAGATTGAAGGATGAAAGAAACACTGGGGAAAACCCCTAAATTCCGTAAGAATTAAAAATTAAAAAGGAGGGTTATAAATTAGAGGGAAGTCTTCAGTATCAGGCATTTCAGGACAGAAACCTCTGGTGTTTGTAGATTCACTTTCCTGACACAGCCATGACAAATCCCCGTGGTCTCCTAGGCAGGAGCACCCCTCTCTGCAGCTCTTTGCCCAATATTTTTTTTTATTATTTTATTTTATTTCTGCCCCTGAGGATTTTGCTTCCTTCCACTTACTTGGCATGCACAGGGAGACAGACTGTGAAATGCAATTCACTTTTGCTGCAAAGGCAAACGCTCTCCAAACTTTTACATCAATTTACCAAAGGAACTGCTGAAAAAACCAACCAAGACTTTGGATGCCAGGAAATCCAAACTTCCTTCTACACACCCTCCAGACATGCCAAATGTGGTCACCATGTCAGTGCTGCTCTTTGCTTCCCCCTGACCTTCCCACCCAGCAGCAATGGCTGAGGAAAGGAATCCCTAAAAAAGGTAACTTTTGTAAAGACTTAGCTTCTCTCCTCTTTTAGGGCAAAAGCAGCTGTTGCATCCTGCCTGCCTCTTGCAGCTTCCTGCCCTCTCCCCTCCATTTTCAAGGTGTTCCTGCAATTACAGGTTCCTTGCTCCCAAAAATCTTTTTTAAAAAGGGAGGAAATAGGATCCCTGAATAAAATCACAAATTCTGTGACAAGTCAGGTTTTATGCAAACAAGGAATGAGACTGCAATACAGTCATTAATTCTTAAATACAATTTTTTTAAAGACTAACACCAACAAAATTCCTTCTCAGAGCAGTATAAATTTCTATTTCCTGCAAATCAGCAGAGTTTCATACTGTGTGGAAGATCCCAAATAATTTGTTATCAAAATATCCCCTAATACTTCTAACCAAAGCAAAATCCATGTACAAAAAGCTGGCATTTCAGACAGTGTGGATGAGTTCCACAAACAAAAGCACAATCTGATTTCATGCTCATCCAACACCCACTGAAGCCAAGGGAAATAAAGAAAGACCTAAACTTTTACACAGTTGGGTTTGTCATTAGGAGATGCTGAAACTAAACCAGGCAGGAAAAAGAAAAGGGGGCATGCAAAATATTCCTTTACTTACAGTAAATAAAGAGTTTAACCCCCAGACAATATCCTGCAAAGGAAAAACAGTTAATTAGACAGGCATTTCAGGAGTTTTGAACGTGTTCACAAACTTAATTTTTTTATTAATCCATGAAATAACTGGAAAAAATCTAGATTAGGAGTAATGTTTTACTAATTTAAATCAAAATGCTGAAAAAGCTTTCCCATTTCATGGCCACTTGATATTCAGAAGTCAGCAAAAACCAAATACTGCATATTCAAACACAAGGTAAGAGATTTCTCTGTGTATTCCTGTTGCTCCTCCATTCAAGGAGAGGAGTGACACCTTAGGATTTGCCACCAGCAGAAAACTGCACTGTTAAAGGGTGGGTAATGAAAGTTAATTCAGCAATCTAGTCTTAAAATTAAAGAGGAAAGGAAAAAAATACAACAAGTACTTGAAACTGCCAACATATCAGAGAAAAGAGGGTGAGCTGCAGTAGGAGTACAGAGGAATACTATTACATAAACATATGTCTCGAGTCATTCCACAGCTAAAATGCAAATTTACAATAAAGATAAGGCCTCAAAGCACCAAACTTCCTATGCACAGCAAAGAACTTCAATAAATGAGTGTACCTGAGCTTGTTTCCTGCTCTGGGCCCTGTGCTGAGAGCGTGCAGCACAGAAATCCATTTCCCTTAAGGGCCCTGTCCAATGATGCCCTAATGAACGAGGCACGATGTCAGCACTCTGCAGCCAACAGCCTCTCACCTTCCAATTTCCCTCTGTTCCTGACAGACATCTCACTCACTTCTGCTCTGGAAACATCATTCTGCCCAGCCTCAGCACCTTCTCAAGTGGGGCAAAGACAGCAACTTTCAAACGTGGCAGCATAGACACCTGAACTGCACAGAAGGGCTGACACAGACATTTAATTCCAGTTATCTGGAAATTTTAAGACTCTAGTGCTGAGCAGTCACCCTCACTGCCAAAGAACAGCTCTGCCAGTTCCCCAGCAAGCAGGAGAAAAATGAACATTTCAATTTTCATTGTTTTATTATGCAATTATTTCAAAGAAGGGATGGAAAGCATTGTTTCACACTTTATTTAAGCTTCTGTGCTTGTTCAGCTGGTGGAACAGACAGCAGGCATAGCAGAGGGCAGCAGAGCATGGTATTAAGGACACCTGGATTAATCCTAGGGGTAAATTATCAGTACAATGCAGTGATGTGCCAAAGTCACAGATTAAAGGAATATTTGGTGGCATGGAGAGCAGCAAAAGGCAGGAAGGTCTCCATTTCCACTTGATTCTCCCACATCCAGGCAGCTCTGGGTAACCCCTCTGCCCCCAAAGGTCAGGATCCCATTTGACTGCTGCCCTCCAAGGCTGTCCTGTCCTTCAGGCAGGCAGAGTTGCAGGGAAAATGACATTTTTAGAAGTTGCCTTCTACCTACACATGGGACAGCAGGCTGCAGCTGCAGAACCACAGCCCTGAGCATTGAAACCATCCTGAGCAAGTACAAGGTCACCTGGGCACTCTGGGCTCTGGCCATTTCTAACTCCTGAATGCCAAACCTGCATCCCCAGGTTACAAACTGCTCCTCCAGCACCAGCATGGCTGAGAAGGAACAAACCAGGAGCAGCTCAGTGCCTTCTGAAAGCCTCAGGAGCTCATCTTCTCCTTACCCTGAGCAGTGCTGACCCCCCTGCTCTGCCAGAAGCTCCCCAGACAGCAGCAGAGCTCTCTCCAGACAAAGCTCCTCCTTGTCCAAGACAAGCTCCAATGCCTCATGCCAGTAAATGCTGCAGCTCAAAAAGGAGATGTGATATCATATTCTCCCATTATATAATCAATTGTTCCCAAATTCTTATTTACTGAACCCTTGTTTTAATGCTTTGGGGTGCTTGACTCATTTGAGCTGGTTTTACAGAGTTCTATTAAAAAATAAGAAAGGAAACATCAAACAAAAAAAACCATAAAAACCTTTGTACAGGAACAAGCTGTCAGAATGCTGTACATCTCCACTGCCATTCTAGACACCAAAAAGCATCACAGGATTATTATTATTACTGAATAATTTACCTGTGAAAGTCTTAATACCATTTTTGATGTTTCCATCTATTCAACTTTCATGATTTGCTGGATTCATTTTATACCCTTACATGGCTCCATAAGAAATAATGCTAAATTACTACCAGAGGACAATTGCTTTTTGTAATGAGCTTGAGTCTAGCCTGGATTGAAATCTAGGAGATTGAGAAAGGCAAGTGGGATGGAACAGATGAGCAAAAGTGAAGCAAGTATTTGTAAAACTCAACACTGTTGAACTGCAGAAATAATCACTCTGCATTGCTGACTTCAGCAGAGGCTGCATGCAGATAAGCACTGGCCTAGATGCCTGCTTTGGGTGTTCCTGAGGAACCAAAAGAATGTGCAAGCCACTGAAGATCTTGTCAATTTAACAGCTCAAAAACTTTTCCTTCAGTGTAATAAAGCATCAGGCTTATGCCATTCTAGACACCAAAAAGCATAACAGGATTATTATTATTATTACTGAATAATTTACCTGTGAAAGTCTTAATATCATTTTTGATGTTTCCATCTATTCAACTTTCATGATTTGCTGGATTCATTTTATACCCTTACATGGCTCCATAAGAAATAATGCTAAATTACTACCAGAGGACAATTGCTTTTTGTAATGACCTTGAGCCTAGCCTGGATTGAAATCTAGGAGATTGAGAAAGGCAAGTGGGATGGAACAGATGAGCAAAAGTGAAGCAAGTATTTGTAAAACTCAACACTGTAGAACTGCAGAAATAATCACTCTGCATTGCTGACTTCAGCAGAGGCTGCATGCAGATAAGCACTGGCCTAGATGCCTGCTTTGGGTGTTCCTGAGGAACCAAAAGAATGTGCAAGCCACTGAAGATCTTGTCAATTTAACAGCTCAAAAACTTTTCCTTCAGTGTAATAAAGCATCAGGCTTGGCTTCAAATTTTTACTGAACTTGTGGTTTAAACAGCCTGAAAACGAAGTTAAGCCCATGTGCAGGAGTTTTTAAAGGTGACCTTCACAGGGAGGAGCAGGGCAGGGGGCCCTGAGAATGTCCAGGGTGCACACCTTGACAGGGCTGCACCCCAGTGAGACCCCACCTGTACAGGACCAGACACCTGCACCTGACAAAGCTGTTTCCTTCACCAAGCTGCTGTTCATCAGACTCCTCCTCTGGGTTTGACATCCAACTTACAGAGGATGAGGGGCAGCCACAGAGCAAGCTGAGAGCCTCTGCTTTTGCCCCAAACCTGTTTTTTGTGCTGGACCTGCAACTGGGCTGTCAAATTCCTTGAGCTGCTGTATCTGGCTCCTGCTCCAGCCTGTTCCATGTGTGGTGTCCCAAAGCTTGGCCATCAGCTCAGATGTCACCCGTGGCTCAGACCTTTTGGGAGTCCAAGGCAGGTCTTAGATATGCAAGTGGGTTTAATTCACATTTATTGTTAGCTCAGAGGAGGCAATGATGGTGTTTGAAATCAGGAACTGAGGTTCCCAAGCACAGCAGTACCTGGTTAAATCCACAGTGGGTGATGGGAATATGGAATAATGAGGGAAGCACACTCTGCTCCATGGCACTGCCACCCCCTGGGCTGGAGCATGGGGAAGTCAACACAAGCAAGTCAGAAGTCCAACAGACTGCTGTAAACAGCCCTTTATAATTGTCCCTTTTCATTCTGCACTATTTTTGTGCTGCATTTGAGTGAAAAGTTACACTAAACCCCTGCCCACAGATTTATTTACAGCATGCCAAACGAGGAGAAAAAACCTGCTGCTGCAGCAGTGTCTGAAGTTCAAGAGCAGTGACTCAAAATCCTCAATGCAGCTTTTGAAACAGCCTCTCCTGAGGCCAGGGAGTCTCAAAGCTTTGCACTTCTAGGAGGTCCTAACTCAGTCACTGATCTTGCCAAGGAACAGTTCTCAGAGCCACTTCACAAAAGCAATGCCACTGAAACCATGCCACAGACAAGGGATTCAGAAAGACAACCACAAACACTTCTGGAGAGAGAGCAAACACAGAAATTGCAAATTCAATAGATTCTTCATAAACAAATAATTTAACCCAGTCGATGAACAAAAGGAGCAGCAGTCATTTACACAAGCACATGTCTGAAGCAAATTTTTTTGGTTTGTTTTTAAAAGGGCTGAAATTCCACTCTAAAGTCCAGCTTGCTCTAGTCCAGGCCATGCATGGCCAAATCCTGGGGCAGCTCTCTGCTGTCGTGTCTGTCTATTCACTACCTCAAGGTGGTTCTCCCCTTCCCTTCCCTTCTTCCACCATCTCTTAAAAACAAGCCCAGCTTCTTCCTCTCTTCACTGCAGCCTAAAAACCCAAGCACACTTCATCTCACTGCACCAAACAATCACTGGTCCTGGGGATCAAAAAAGGAAATTTCCTTCCAGAGACAAAGGCACTTTTTAGCTTATGAAAAAGCTTCCTCTCTCTTAAACTGTCTTCTCTCAAATAAAATCTCTTTTTATATTTCCTCTCCTGCTCCTCTGTTATCTTGCAGAAGGTGAAAAATATTGTTTCCACCTAGAAAAAGGTGAAAAAGTGAATGCCACCTTTCTTCAGCCACGCCAGCTGTCATGTGCCTGTCATCCCTGCCTGTGCTTCCCACCCAAACACTGCAGCAGCTCCCCACAGGGCTCTGGGTACCTAAAAGGCATCAACTGCTCCAGTTAGCAAACACAAAACAAGGAGGAAGGCTGGAAAACCATTTCTTTTGTGCTTAAATATAGGAGGGGAAACAAAACAAGAGCAATTGCAGCCTGTTCCTGTCCCAGAGCAAGGCAGCTGGGAAGTGCCAAGCATTCAGAGCACTCCTCTCCCATCCCTCACTTTGTCACTGACTCCTTGACCTCTGTCCCCGTGGTTACTGCAGGACAAGTGGGTAATCCTGGGGAAATTGTTCCCTGGGGAATGCTCTGATAGCTCCTTAATGAACTACACCACAGTGATGACAACACTGAAGCCATCACCCTCTGGAGACCACTCTGCTCAGTGCATTACAGCTGACACTAAGTGAATATTCAGAAATCAACAGTTTGGGGAGAAGAAGCATGGCTTAATTACAATTACAGAGATCTCTCAGCTCTCCTCACTCACATGCCCATAGTAACAGCTACTGCACCTACACCAAAGTTTTGGTTTTGCCAGGGGACATTAAAGAGAGAAAAGTAAAATTTTGCAGATCTTTTCTGAAGCAAAAGCTATTAGAAGACAATGAGCTGTATATTTTTACCAGCCTGGGCATGTATGGAGGAGAAATAAATAAATCACCTCTTTTTACAAAACTGATAAAGCCATTTTATAATGAAGTCAAAATACAACACAATATATCCTTGGAGAAATATTTCCTGAAGCTTATTTTAAGAAAAAACTGAATGTCAGATCTGCACAGAAGATTGTCTTCAGTTTACTCTTTCCAAATACTGGGTCTGAAGTTTTTATCTAGGGCTTATTCAATTTTTAGAGGTGAGGAAGACACACAAAAAGACCAACTCCAAAACAGGATCTGAATAAATCAATAGCTGTACAATGTTATCATAATGCTGAGAAAAACAGCCTGAGCAACAAGAATTAATGGAACATAAAGCATGCAGGTTTCTTTTTTTCCCTTCATCCTCGAGGCAGTGACAGTTACTTTACTGTCTGTTTCAAACACTCCTCTACACTAATTACAGATGATGTTGACAGCAGACCATCTATTTTCCTTGAGATGATAGGAGAAAGTTTTGTACTTTCAAAACTCCTCAGGTTGATGCTTACACAATGAGGTAAACTGGAAAAGTGAAGTCAGGACCCTCTGATTCATTTCTCCAAGAGATGAGTTTGGCATTTGGATAATTCCAAATGAAGTCATTCCAGTGCCTGAAGACAAGGGCAGAGCCAGTGAACCAAAGAGGACAAAATGCTGCCATTTAGTATTAAAACACTAATTAAATAAGCAAGGCTCCTAAGGATCAACTCCAAGTAGCAACAGTTTACTGGAAATGAGTCTTAATTCCTTTTAGATCAGGTAATCTAATAGCACAGACAGATACTTATTAACCTAGGATCTGGAGTTATGGGAGAGAAATTCCTGCAAAAACAGTGGTTTCCTGCAGAGGGGCATGAAAAGCTGTCTGTAAATCTGTAGTTTAAGACTACCTGGATGTTTGCTGCTCCTGGCTCTCCTGAGAGCAATAACACAAAAGTGACAAAAGCCAGCACTTGGAACTACCTCAGGGAAAAACTGAACTGCACATACACCTAACAAACATGGAAAGGCTCCAGGAAACAGCCCAGCTAGCTGAGCCCAGCTGCATCCCTGTGAGAACACAGCTACAAAAAGAAGAAAAAGGACAAACATTCCCTGTGAGCATCCATCATACATTTTTAAACACTGGCTTTAATGCTCACATGCTCAGCCCTCCACAGAGCTGCCCAAGTGTGCTTTGATTATTTTTAAGGTCCATCAATCAGCCACTGATTTATGAACCCATTTCCAGCTGCAGTTAGTTAGAGGCAACTGCAGAAGGAGTCTGACTTTTAGAACCAGCCAGGCATTTAAAATACAGATCCACTTGTGCAGTTCTTAAAATCAATCACCTGAGATGTTTTCAGAGCAAGATGGAAACATTTAGGACAAAGCTGAAGAGTATTAAGGACAACTAACTGAGCTAAGCAGGTGATAATCCTGGCAAATGAGGCACATGTTGGGGACTAACAGGGGCCACTAAAGCACTATGGAGTCTGAAATTGAAATTACTGAAGGGTACAAAGCAGAGGAGCAGAGAAACAGCAACAGTGTGAAGTCATATGAGGTATTTAAAAGCTGTGAAAAGCTTTAAAAAAAAAGCTTTAAAAGTTCCAGTGACATTAAAAAAACCTGAGAACAGAATGGAATTAAAGCCATCTATTTGCTTTCTGCCTGGGAAACTTTAATTTTGCCCATCACACCTAAAAACAGGAGAAAAGGAAGTTCAGACACTCTGAGCAGGGCCCAGAGTAACTGCAGCAGTCTCCAGCTTTGTGAATAAGCTGCTTTAGAGAGGAAAGTGTGCAATGAAATGATGCAGAATGTGACAGAATGGAGACTGAAAGGTAAATAAGCTCCTGTTGCTAACTCAGGTTCAGCTACAAAGGAGCAGAAGGAACACAAAAATCACAAAGGAGTAGAAGGAACACAAAGATCAGCCAGAAAGCACTGCAGCAGTGTTCACACAATCCACAGCCTGGAGACCAACCACTACCAGAGATTATCTAAAGGTAATTTAAGAATAATAATCTAATAAAATATATAGTCTAATAATAATCTGTTAATCTATAACCTAATTAATAATCTAAGGACATGGAGTATTTCAAAAACAAAAAGAAAGTGATTTTAGAAGTGTATAAATAGACAGGCTGGCAGGTTAATGTTTTAAACCTGTTCCAGGGTAAGAGCCCAGCTCTGCTCAGAACCTGATTTCAAAAAACATCTCATGCAGGAATTCAGAAATAGCACATTCTTTAGCTCCCTCACTCACACACAGGCTGCTCTTCACAGTGGTCCATGGAAACGTGCTCCCAAGCACAAAGAAGGGAAAAAAGATAAAGCTCAGCACTTGGTTACCTGTAGAGAATTCAATCATGGATGAGATGACACCAAGTGCAAAAAAATGCTGGGAAACAAAACTGAGTTAGGTCTTCCCCCCATTAAGAATCCTCCACACTGTTAAAAATACATTTTATTAGGTAAGTTTTCCAGACAATTTAGCAGACTTTCATTTTTATTTCAGAAAGTTTCTTCATGTTTCTACCCATTTGATACTAAAAAAAAAATATTAAAAAGGTCACAGCAGTTTATTTTGAAGGATTTTTCACACAGGAGCTCTGCTGTCACCACAAGGATTCCAAAATGAGACACAACCAGAAACCTGAGCCTTCTAAAGGCTTAAGCACACAAACCCAAAGCATGCAGCTGGTTTCTGCATGGGGCTTCTTGTGTGTATTCTCTATTTGAAAGGCTTCTCTAATTCCTTTGGAACAGTTTTTGTGGCAGAAGGACATGCCCACCCTCAATTTAATTCTTCAGGAGTAGTTCAGAGTGCTTTACTGGGCAGGTGTGGGTGCTATTCCTCCAGAAAACCAGGCTGACTTCATGTGACTGACAAATTAAACACTGACTTTCAAGTGCATAACGGGCCAAGACTGGATTCCTGCCCACAGAGCTTCAGTGCACATTCTCACTGGTCCCCTTGTGGTGATGAAAAGCTGTAAAAAATGAGCTCACAACTGTGGTGCTTCAATGTTCAAAAATTTAAAAATCCAAGGAGATCCAATCTGATTTTTCTCTTTTTGAAGTTAAGCTATTACTTCCTTTTCTCTTGCTGAATCTTTCATTTCAACAATCACAGAAAAAGTCCCTGTCTTTTGGGTTTCTTGTCCACTTGTACTAATTTTTAAGCTTAAAACTGTCCCTGAATGAAAATACAGGGACAGGAACAGAACTAGTTAACTTAAATACTCAGTGCCTTAATTTAACCTGAGGTGAAAACAGAAACACAAAGGGCAAAACAAAATCACACCAACTGATGAAAAAACAACAGGGAAAGACTGCTTAAGAAAATCCACAAAACAACACACTCATTTTACTTCCAGAAAGTCACATGCTCACCTCAGGAGAGATTTTACAGATGAAGAAAGTCACAAATCTCATTCACAGTGCCAAAGAGCAAACCAAGTATCAGATAAAAGTCATTTTCAATTTGCTTTTTGAAAGAGACAAACACCTGATGTATACCCTTTATCCACCTAATGCTGTTAAAGCTCTGCAAGAAACAATTCTGGCAGCATTCCTGGGAACAGCAAGAGGAAGATAAATGCCCTGCTCAGTGCTCTGCACTGATTTTGTCAGGAATATCAATCCTATGGAAATTACCAGGGCTATGGATTGCTGTTCACAGGAGGCTCTTGTGTTTGCTGCCTGGGTGAAAGCAGCACACCTTACAGAGTGTGGGTTCCCAGGGTCACACCAGCCTCCAAAAGCTTGGATCAGAGCAGGACTTGTGCAGCCACCCCAGAACTCCCAACACTTCTACAATCAGCACTGTACCTGCTCCACTGCTGCCACCACCACTCGCTGAAAGACAAAAACCTCACCTCAAAAACCTGCTCTGGAGCAAACCACATCAGCTGATTCTTTCCAAAGCCAGGAAAGGGTTTTTAAAGATGTATTTAGTTTGAAGGACACATCCAAAAGGGAACAGTACCTTTAAGGTTCTAGTTGGGGCCCAGCCAGTGCCATCAATTGAGTGTTCTCTCAATAAACTGGAAAAGAAAGACACACACACATTACACAGAGCAACTTCTGCTTCAACTGCCTTTGTCAGAAACCTCCTCAGAAAACATCAGGAAGCAATTGCAAGATAAGATCTAATTCTTGCACTATTTATATCCAGGTAATGGAATTTTAAACCCCAGGAGTTGGGATGTCTGCCTAAAATTACCTTCTCCACAGTGTCATTACAGAGCTCCCCATCTGAGCTCAACCTCTGTCAAAACACCTGAATTATTTTCCTCCAGCAGCACAAGTCTGACAGAAATGCTTGTGACAGCCTCAACATTGAACCCTTTTTTTATTCCCTGATGCATTTTAGAACATGTTCATCTCTGGTGAAGAGACATCCTTGTAGGATGACCCACCTCTCACCAAAACTGGCACAAACCAATCCAAAAAAGGGTGTTTTGGGGAGGGATATCTAATCAGCAAAGAGAGGATCATCATGTTCTATTGTGTGGAAGGACTTCAGCTTCCTACAGGTAAAGATGAGAAAGTGAGAGAGTTTTAGACTGTCTGCTCTGGAGGAAAAACTTCCTTATTAAAAATATGTTTAAAATATACATAATGGATATTAAAAAATTTATATGTGTATATATATGTGTGTATATATTATATAATTTTATTGATAACAGCTATAAATATATATGATGAAGTGTACATATTATAAACTATAACTTGACTTTTCTTGACTTTTTATATGACTATGAAGATATAAAATACAGAATTTCCTAAATGCACACATGCAGTATACATGTCCCATATTGTGGTACAACATATTAAAGCCCACTGAAGGTGCTGACCAATTTGCAAGTGGAAACCATTGAGGTGTTCAGGCATTTCTGGACCTTTTGGATCCAAACCTCAGCATTTATGAGAGGGAGATTGGGGATCAGAGCACAAGTGACAAATAAGCTGAAGTCTTGCTCAGAACTGAATGAAAACAATGTAAAAAAATCCTTGAAGCATCATTTCACAATCACACCTTCCTCTGCAAGGAGTCAGCTGAAACAACTCACACAGCAAAGCACAGAAATTCACCACCAGCAGCAGCTTTTGCCTCTGGAATGACAGGGTTAAAGTGAAATTGCCTTAAACTGTAAGGTTTTAGCAATTCCCAGGCTGACATGTATTAAGTAATTTTAAAATTACATAGATGATTAGACCATACAGGTTATGTAGTTATTTAATGAACATGGCAAGATTATATCCAAGGAAATTCAACCCTTGTTCAGTGCAGAGATCCTAGGAACAGGATGATAACCTGGAGAAGCCCATTCCACCTTAAGTGTGCTGCTCATCTCATTCCTGTGCCTTTCAAAAGACAAAATATGCCATTACCACTTGTGCAGTGTTCAAAATAACATCCTGTGGCTGCAGTTTGTCTCCATTTGACAAAAGCAAAAAAAGCTTGCTTTTTGTCTGTTCCTTATCAAACTGTGTGGCAGTGCTTCCATTTGCCTCTCCATCCATCTGACTGGGAAATTCCAAGTGAGGGGGAAGTTAACACACCAAACAGAATCAGAAAAACATTCAGTGACAGAGCACCTGAGCATGAGCTAAGCCTCATGGACAGCCCTGCAGCTTCCCAAGGCCTCAGAGCTGTCCTGGCACAGCTCCAGCTGGGACACCACAGCCAGGGCTGAGGGGACACCTGTACCTCTCAGAGCACTCAGGCAGGGAAGACACACAAGTGTCCCTTTGGCTTCATACTCCTCATTTGCTGATAGGATTTGTTTTAGAGCAGCACCCTCTTCCTTCTACACACTGGGAATGATCACTAAGCCCCTCAACAGAACCTCTCCCCAGATCTAAGGAGACCTCCCAGCCTATAAATCATACATCAATCTGGGCTCCTATGGGCACCCTGCAAAATCACTGCTTTTGAACTTTCAATATCCAAAACAGCCCCTGGTGTGACCAGTCAGCTGCTCAGCTTTCATTTCAGCAAACATCTTCTCATTCTGTGAGTAACTCCTGCACGGCAGAAAGCTTTGAGGATTTTTTTTTTCTTTTTAAACACACACATCCTGAAGAGATCCTTTAAAAACCATCTCCTGAAGTGGGAACTGCATGATTGCAGTAAGTGCAAAACCTTCTGAAACTCCAGCTGGCCCAACCTGCAGCTTAAGTGACAACAATTGACTGGAAGGGGAAGATCAGCCTGGAGAAAACCCAATTTTTTCTATCCACATGTGCAGTGGAGCTGATATCCAGTACAGGCCAGACCTAATTAGGACCTGTCATTAATAATATGGCCCAAGGTAACTGCAGCCCATAAAGCACAGAAAAACACCACTTGTCCTGTCCACAACTGTTACACTTGAGCACAAGTTAACTACTTGAATGTTTTAATCCAGGGCTGATTATCAAACCAGCACACAGCACAGCATGAGGTATGTGGGGGCAAAGCACTGATGAAGATGATTTTCTGCTTTTAAAAATAACTGAAGCTATTTTAATGCAAAGACTCTTGTGGAAGTTGATTGCAGATACTATACATAGAATGCATTCTCTAACAGACAGAAAGCAATTAAGCTATTTTAGCTTTTCCATAAAATGCCAGACATTTCCAGGGTTGGATATGCTGAAGTATCTGACAATCCAAAGTGTTTCAGAGCAGATGCTGAAAGAATGCCTCCACTTCACCAGAATTATGAATGATGCTCCAAACACCACATTCATCTCTTGTAATTCAAACCATTTCAAGAGATGGAAAAGCTGTGCCTGCCCCGTCCCTGGAAGTGCTCCAGGCCAGGCTGGATGGGCTTTGGAGCAGCCTGCTCCAGGGGAACATGTCCCTGCCCAATGTAGGGGGAGAATGGGATGAGCTGGAAGATCCCTTCCAAGCTCAACCTCTGTGGGATTTCATGAATGTGAGGCTTTACTGACCCCCAGAAATGCTGTGCTGTAGCTGGAGCTCCAGCTTTGGTTTGTTCCCTGCTTCAAACACCTCACTTGTTCACTCCTCTACCTGCACTCAGAACATTTCAGTTTCTTAATGCTGATGAGCCTGACCTGCCAAGGAAGGGCAATAAAAAACTTCATTTTCACCAGGACTTTCAACACAGCACTAAAAAGATTTTTTTTCATCTAGAGGAAAAATTCAGCTTCTCTTTAAGCACTGATTTGCTGCACATGGTGACAAGCATGTTGGATTTTCAGAGCAGCTTTCAATCTCACTTATGGGCTTTGCTTCTGCTTCATCTGCCTTTTCTTCTGTGTGTCATTAACTTGAAAAACGACAGGCAGGCTTCTCACTTCTGTTTCTGTTTGGTTTCTGGCCAATTTCACCATGAGGTATTGAGGATGAAATTGCAAAGTTTCACAAATTCATTTGGAAGAGGAAACATTTACTATCAAGGAAAACCACCCAGCAAGAGAAGCCTCTCTGGCAAAGCAAAGCTTTCAGGTTTCATATCCTGCCTTATCCTGAGCCCAACCCTGATTTGTGATAATTGGCACGTGTGTCTTATCACTGGATATTAAATATTATAATTAACAAATGGAAAACAAAGAATAATTACTGTCAAATCTAAGGAACATTTTTTTCCCCTCCTTTTCAAAATAAAAAGAATTTTCAAGCTCTTAACACTCTTGGGCATTAAATGGTAAAGCCTCTCTCAGGGCCTGAGGATGATTCAGTTATGAGGGAGGGAAGAAAAAACCCAACTACATTTTGTTCAGGCTGGAGTTTACATTTTATCCCATTTTTTGTTCTATAAGCAGAACAAAATACTAAGTCTGAACCTGAAAAGCCAGGCTCTCCATGGTCCCTGCAGCACAGCAAGAATGAGACTTTGACCAAAAAATACTGTCAGGACATGCAATATTTTACCAAACAGAGAAACCTCCAAGGTTAAAAAACTCCAACAGAATGTTGTTCCTACCTTAGGCAGATTTCTCCTGTCTCTGTAATGTTTGGGTGCCAGATTCTTGTCAAACATTTTACCTTTGGAGGCTGCCAGGAGAGAAAACAAATTACTGTGTTATTCTTTAAGATAAAACCCTGTTATAACTCATAAAACAGAAAAAGGCAAATATATTTGATCTTCACAGCCTGGGTTTGTAATGTTTAGAGCAATGATGCATTATATACAAGAGTCAAAACAGACTTCTCTGCCCTTTTAGCTTATCTCAACTCTTCATAAAAATAAGGCTGGTATTAGACTTTTCCTTAGGGAAAAAAAAAATTAAGAAAGCCAAGAAAATTTGCTCCTTCAGGGAAAACACTAAGTCATTCAGTTTCTCCATGCTTAAGACAATAATTTAAACCAAAAAACTTCACCAAGGCTTGTTGAAATCAGGGATTTGTTAGAAAACCAGCAGAGATAACAAATAAATAACAAATAATAAATAAGTTATTTTAAATACAGACCCTCCTATTCACAATTGAACAGAAATGCATCAGCATTGAATTTGAGGCACTAAAATGAAAAGCCACAGGCAAGATCACCAAACTTCTGAATGTCATAGAGGGGTTCTGAAGTACAGATTTTTCAAGTACAGATTTTTTACAGGTTCCTTTGCTCTAGTTTTGAGAAGTAAATAAAGAGTGGGACATAAAAATGTCAGTAGCTTAGCAACAGCACGTTGTTGCATCCCTGCTCACCCCATTAGGACCTGCAGCTTTCAATCAGGCAGATTATTTCTGATGGGAAGTGTCCTGGAATCCATCAGCACATACCAGCACCATGCAGAACTTCAATCAAATCCCAGATTATAAATGTGGAGCCATCTCCCTCCACTTTTCCCAATGATGTCTTCAATCAAGAGGCAAAAGAGCTCCAAGAGCTGTATTTGCATGGCAGCATCAGGTGTTTTATCCCATCTTGTTCCCAACTTCCCAATTACCTTCCTAAGAAACTTTTAAAATTAAGACTCCTTGGAAGAGGTAAGAAAATATGCATGACCAAAAACAGACCTAAAAGAGATGTTCTAGAAGAAAAAAACACTGATCACCATGACAAATCTGGAATTAATAAAGCAGATTTTGCCTTTCCTCCACTTCATTTCTGTGCAATAACTCAAAGGACATCAGTCATTATTGAAAATTAGGTGGCTTACAGAAAACAGTCTCAAACTTTGTGACCTCCAAAACACCTCAGAAGTTTTCTAACAGCACAAGCTTTTCATTAGCTACACTTTCACATTGTTTTGAAAGATGATGTCTAGATCTCAAGCAAGGGAAAGCAGCAGAATTTATTCCATGCCATTAGATAGAGATAAAAGAGTAAATTTCTACCATATGCACCTTCAAACAGGGAATGTATTGATGAGTCAAAAAAAAGACATATGGAAACTCTTTTTTAAAAATCCCCAAATCCTCACAGTGAATTAACTGGTGTCTTATTTTTTGTACTGTGGAAACAAAAGAACTCCTTTATCCTTTCAAAGTGATTTTCACTGCTGAAAGTTAGAAAGAACCACTCTTGACAGCAAGACAAAGGTTTTTCTCTCTCTCCTTTTTCCCTTTTAGACACACAGGACAACTGCAGCACCACCACAAAATTCATCTTCAGACAAAACCTCATCTTGGAAGTTGCTCCAAGTCATTTTTGAACCCTCCCCAGACCAACAGATCCAGAGATTTCCCCAGGATGATGTTTCACCTGAACACCTGTGACACTGCACAACAGAGCTCCCAAAATCCATTTATTTCTTTGCTCCAACTCCTCCTTCCCCTCAGACCCCACAGGTAGATGCAGCCTCAGCTGGGGGCACAGCACAGACCACATTCACTTCCTTCTCCATTTCCAAGCAGCCACTTCTGCTCTGGGATCCCTCATTTAAAATCAAAGTTTCAGTTCTTGATAAATTGGCCCTCTAAAAGGACAGGTGTACCAACAGATCTTGTAATTTTTAAAATTATGTATTATTTATATATTTAATTTGATCTCTTCACTAGTGAAGAAATTTACCTTGAGAAGGAATGAATGTGGCTCCTGAGAGAAATCTGGAAATGAAGTTATTTGAAATGTTTTCTCTGGACACCAGCTAGTCCCAAAGCTAAACCACTCTGCTAAACCACCCTGCAAGTCTGTAAAAAACACCATTGCCCCAGGAGGGGGGATACAAGTTCTGGGGGTGAACTACATTTCAGCCCCGAGATATTTCTTGCCACTTTCCAGCAGCAGTTTCTGGAGAACTCCTCAGACTGCCTGAAACTGAACACCACACACAGCAAAGCACTGAGTGGTTTGGCAGCAGGCCACAAGATCAAATCTTCCAAATTGTTCCTCTTTATTTATTTTATGCTCCTCCACTACATCCCAGTTCCACATACCCACTCCTCTGGCCAGTGCAGGTGTGTATCCCAGCCTTGCCTGGCAGGTCTGCAGAGCTCTCCTGAAAACAGGGATCACTTCAGGCAGTCCCACTCTGCCTGGCAGGAAACCAACCACAGCCTCAGCAGAATTCCCTCAATATTGGGATTAATACTGCATTAATCACCTGACCACAATCCAACACCCAACCTCCTGCATTGTTTCAAAACTTTTTATTATGGTATTGGGTAAGAGGTGCTCAAATTTAAAAATATTTAATTAACACTTGCTGTAGATTTTCCTGCCAGTGCTGAGCAGGGAACCATAACAAACCAGAGACTTTTTAATTATGGGAACTGAGAATCAAAAAACTCTGATCAAAACTGAACTTCAGCTCTTCTGTTAATGCACAGCAAACACTTTCCTGCAGCAATGCTCTTTGGGTGGACAACTGGAATACAAAAATCAAAGGAAATAACATGAATACACAGAAGCTATTAAGGGCAACCTCTGTCACAGTATGAAATTCTTTGGTAAAGTTAAGGGGAACTTCAAACATCCCACAACCAAACCCACACAGCTGCAAACACTACCTAGCTGTGACTGCAACTATTACACACAGATAATGCTGAATTTAGGCTCAGCTGGACAGGAACCAAAGATCTTCCCTGAAACTCTTCTCCAGGATCCTCCCTTACACATTCCTCAGCCTCTCTGCAAGAACTCTGAACTACCAACACCAAAGAAAGACACCAAAGCAGAAGAATGTGGGGGAAAATGACAGAACTGTCAACCTTTTCCTTTTGGTCCACTCGTTTCATTCTTAGATATATAACTTTTTAATGAGAATAATCATTAAATGCAGGTCTCATGAATAATTAACAGGAGAGAGCAGGACCTCAGCCAGAAGGAAGGACACTCAGGTTTGACTCATCTGCACTTCCCAGAGCTTCTGCCAGACAGTTGCAGAGATTTATTTTATTAAGGCACAGAAGATCCTTTCTCAGTCTCAATGCCACGTTCTCCCTGAAGTCTTGTTACCTGCAAAGAAAATCTAAAATGACAGCTATGAGACTAATGACAAATACTCACCACCATATTGTAGGCATCAGGAACTTCAGTTTCAAACTGAAACTTGCCCCCTTGGTAATAGCCCTCATCTAGAAAAGGGAAAACAAGGCAAATAGTTAAATAAGAGAAAAACACCAAGACTACAACAGCAGCACAGGGTTTCCATCAAACACTTCAGCTGGCTGCACCACCAGCTGCCACCTAATCCAAGGAGTGTGTGACCATCATGTCTCCTGCACTCCCAACATTTCTACAGCTGAAATTTGAAGTCAGGAGAGCCAACAGTCCCAGAAAAATCCACCATCCTGATCACAGGAGCAGGGATACCCAGCCAGAGGAACCCTGCACTGAACTTCTCACTGCAGGAAGCAAATCCTGGCAGGCAGCACCACATCAGCGACCCTTGGAATGAGCTGGAGAAATCCTGAAATTGCTAATACATTGCTAGATGCTGCTCCAGGACTGAGCAGATCTTCCCAAACTTGTGTTTGCTAAAGCACTGCTAAACCCTGCTCCAGGACTGAGCAGATCTCCCCAAACTTGTGCTTGCTAAAGCACTGCTAAACCCTGCTCCAGGACTGAGCAGATCTCCCAAACTTGTGCTTGCTAAAGCATTGCTAAACCCTGCTCCAGGACTGAGCAGATCTCCCCAAATTTGAGCTGGCAGTCCTGGTGAGTAGTACAATGATGTGCAAGGGCATGTTTCAGTGCACTGCAGTAACAGCAAGCAGCTTCTTTCACTGTAATTATCCTTCTGTGATGTACCTGCTAGGAACACATCTCCTCTCTGCCAGCCTCAGTACTGAATTATTAAAATGGCTAAATTTCCAAATATGACATATTAAAAGATCTACTTGCATTTAAGCAAGGCTAGTAGAATGGGATGACAAACAGCATGTTACTCTTGAAGTAGCTGTGCTTGGAAGCTGAAATGCTTACAAGTGATCTGAAATGAACCTGGCATTGCCATTACTGAGGTTTTTCATTAAAATGACAGGTACCCAGCCCACACTGGGGGTTTGAGACATCTGAGGGATGCTCTGACTCAAAGCACCCTGAGCACTCCAGCCCCAGTGAAGGCCAGGAGGGCTGGTTAGCATTATAGGATGCAGGTTTTTTATATTTCTTAAGCCAACACTGCAAAGAAATGTTCTGTGAAACAATCCATAGTTTAGAGAAAGGCTAAGAAGAATTTTGTTATTATCTGGTTTGTTCCAAACCACAAAAAAAAACCCCCTAGCTTGTCTACTGTAGGTCATCAAAATCCTAAATCCTCCTTCAGGTTGCTGTCTCTTGATCTGCTTTTCAAATCTGTTCTCCATTCCCACTCCAAATCAATTCTGAAGTGAGCTGGATTTATTAAGCAATTTTAGGCATGCTATGATTTACCATGAAATAGTAAAGGGACATGCACTAATTTTTATAGGAAAAAAGGCAAGATAAAAAGCATTTCTCTTTTGTTGTTAAATATAAAGAGACAAAAATCAGTAAAGCAAGCCATTAGTGAAGACCAGGGAGTACGAGGTGAGTTACACTGATACCCGTTGGTAAAACTGCTCCCTGTCAAATGTGCAGTGCACTGAGAGTGAGACACTGTTCCAGAAAGGAATCATTGAAAATGGTCCAATATCCCCCAGGAGCTCTAACACATTTATCCAACAGAAAACAGACAGAACACTGACTGCACTTTATCCACCATCTAGCACTATAATACCAAGTATTTTTAACCAAGTGACAGGAATTATCACATTTCCAAGTACAAAAGTTCTTTTCCTTGGCTTAATTTCACTAGTTCCTTGATTTGCTGGACTTGGAGCAGAGCATGCAGCAGCTCTTCACATTCCACCCCTGCTTAAGTGAAATAAATGCCTGCTGATGGATGTATCCACGTGTGTTTTATGTCAAAGAAAATCCCCAGGTTTGATGAACACTCACTGCAATGGCTGTCCAACAGAAACACTCAAGAACTTTCAGATTAATTCTTCCTCAAGACAACTCAATATTCATCACTGCCTCATATTACAACTCATTTTATATTTTGGTTTTACCTTGTCACCAATCACTAATCAAAACTCACACTGGGTAAGCCTTTGCTAGCAAATAAGCAAGGACATATTTACACAATTAAGAGGAGCAAGACATCTCTCCTCCCCTCTTTTATACAATTCTGCCTCTGTGTTCCTAAGGCAACAATCAAGCTACTCATTACCAGTCACTCCAACATATATTAAAAATTCTGGAGAGCCTCAGTACCCAGCCAGAAATCTTGCACTGCATTAACAAGATAATCCACAATAAAGTCATCTTTCAGCATCTCAAGTAAATAGGTTCTCAGACTGGGAGAGAAATCCTCAGTTTTTTAGGCATGAAGAAGTGGTGGGAAAAAAGTTCTGGCAGAGTTAACAGTGAGGAAAGAGCTATAAATAAACCCATCAAATGGAACAGCTTTAACACATAACTTAGGAAGCTGGCCACAGGGACTTTTGCTAAAAAGGGAGGATGTCTGAGCCACAGTTTTCCTCCCACTGCTTAAATTTATGTCTTCAAGCTGTATTAGCAGAGCAAGCATCCCTCCCACTTCAGTCTCAAGTTTCATTACCAGCAACCTGACTAATCTTAGCTTGTATTTGTAGGGTGTTTTAATGCCTGAAAGAGCTCTGGAAAACACTTCACCAAATTATTTCCTCCGTTTAGAAGAAAATGCAAGATAATTAGGGCAGGCCACAAGGGATGCACTTTGCATAGCTGCTCCCTGAATCAGCCATGCTCACCAATATTTGTGGGCATTTCACCAGAAAACAGGGCCTTTATTAATCCCCCTAGAGTGGCACTCAAATATCCACACCATGCCCAGACTAATCCAACAGCCTGGGAACTGCAGGGAAATTACATTTACTGCACTTACTCTTCTGGGTTTTTTCATATGTAAGCTATCTAAAGTCACCTCCTTTATTTTTCTCCAGGTCATTATCATGTTTTAATCCTCAGCTTCCAATTTTGTGCTCCAAATACCACCACAGCAAGGCTGGATTCTAAACATCTCCTTATTTTCCCTAGATTTCCATCCAATATGATACTGGTGCAAAAATAAGAACAGAGGCAAGTGGTGGCACAAGGGTATTTTGCAAAGGCAGAACAACTGTTTCAGATGACAAAAGGGAAGAGAAGCTTCAGGCAGCAGAGAAAACCAGCAGTGTCTGCCTGGGGAACACGGAGTTTGTCCACTGCAGCAGAAAAATCCAAGCCTGAGCCATTTTCTATCCACTGGTGGTGCACTGCAGAAAACTGGAGCATACAGAGATTGGAATTTCTTCAATTATATGAAGCAGCCACCCTCATCAAGATTTTCTACAAAATCATTTTAAATTAAAACCCTCCTGTCACCAGGATAATTTTGCCACATTAAATAGTGGTTGAGAAAGGTTTTGGTGAGAGGTGCTGAGCAAGGGACCTGAAAGGATTTCTGCTTGGTGGTCAAGTCCATTTTCTTATTCAAATTAGTCTTTTTGTGAAAGCCTAAGGAAGCTTCTTTTACTGTCCTTTCAAGACCAGCCACATACAAAATGACAGCAGGGAACAAAGTTAAGATTCATGCAATACTGTCCAGACAATACAAAAAGAGTTGGCTCAAGCCTGCTTGAGCCATAAAACTCCTGTGACAGCCACTCTGCTGCCTCAAGGAAAACCAAGATTTAGCACACACTGGAGAAAACTTCAGTGCTGAAGAGAGGCAGAAAACTACCAAGATTTTCTTGCTCTGTGTTCTGCCTTTATGGTGCTGAACTATGGCTGATCACAAGATTCTACACCTGAATTATGCACAGCTGAAAATAGATGTTTACTTGGGTCAGGCTGCAACTGCAGAGACTTCAGCTGTGCAGCTATATTTAGAGTAACAAAATGTTAATTAAGATCATCTCATTGGCAAGATCATTGGCACAAAACCCCTGCTCTGCATTCAACAGCTGGTTTCTGCCTGCAGCATCCTGCTGCACAGCAGTGAGCAGACAAAACAATTCCTAGGGTTTAGACACCTTGGAGTCAGGACAGCTTTTGTATACATTACTCATTTGCACAGTGATGCTCTTGTAAAGTCAGCTCCTTTCCAAAACAGAACAAAGCAGCATCATGCAAAGTGAAGGGCATTTGGTGCAAGCAGAATTAACACCCACCAAGTAAATATGAGCTCAACTCCTACACAGAATGGCAGGGCCAAAGCTCTAGATTAGCTCTTGCATTTATTTTTAATTACACTGACAAGGGCAGCCTCACTCATTTTTCCATCACAAAAGGGACTCACATGAATGGACATGTTAACAGAGACCACCCAAAATTTCTGCTGGAGGAAGGGCCAGCTGGTTTGGGCTAATGAACAGCAACAGTGACACCTAGTGCTGCTCTGCCTTCAAAATACTGGATTACAGAAACATTCCAGGCACTGCATTAAGTGCACAGCACAATTCCTCCAGGTCAGACACCAGGATGAGTGACACAGCTCACCCAAACTGTGCATCCACAGAGAATGGGCACCCAGGAGAAGGAGCTGCCAGGGGGACACCGACCCAGCACACCACACTCCATCCTCTCAGTGCACTGCACACAGCAGTGTTCTCACCTGACAGGCTCAAACACAAGAAGGGCATGTGAAGTTTAAATAAACTCCCATGCAAATTCATTCATAAAGCACAACCTTCTGTTCTAAAATGCACAGAAAACACTAATTTCAGGTGGCTATTAAGAAACTGGCATGGAAATGATAATTTATGAAAATGCTTTTACTGACCAGCCTGCCAGCAAGAGCTTCACAGGATACTCAAGTTGTGTTAAGAATAAAAAAATCTGATTTTCCATATTTGAAGAATCAAAGACTTAGAGATTCCTCCTTGTTAAACATCTGCAGGAACACCTGGGTTTGAAGTTTTCCAGCAGGGTTACACTGGTAACCTCTCTCTACACCTCTGCAAAACCAAACAATCAGCACAGGGCAACACACAACCTAACAGGGCTGTAAGGCAAAGATAAATCAACGTGGTTTGGAAACTGGCTGAGAGAAAAAAAGTTCTCAATCAAAGTAAGCAAACAAGATCTGAATTATTTCCTAACCCTACACATTTTTGAAAACTTTTTCATTGGTATCTAGTTGTCAAAAGTCAGCCCAGTTTCTCCATCTCTTTAATGAAATAATCACTGTAATAGCCAGATCTTCTTTGACTCGAGGCTTTATTGGAATTCCTGTTGGAATTATGCCTCCTAAACACCAACACAGACAGAAACAAAAGTAACACGTTGAAAAAAATTACCTGGGGTTACAGTTAGCTGAAAGTAATGGAGCTTGTTTGGGTCAGGAAAATTCACTTTACATGTACCTGTGAAGAAAAAGAATAATTTACATCAGAAAGGAGTTCTCCTCTGCTGGCTGACATGAGGAGACAAGTCTGTCATGGTTATTTTATCACCCATATTCCGCAGTCTTTGGCTTCTGAACCCATCAGGCTGGCTGTTCCTTTTCTGTAGCCAAGGAGCTGAACAGTACCATAGCTATAAATCCCATTTGCCTCAAAAAACCTACCTGGAGCTGTACACAGACCCTGGTACTGCACTCACACTGTAGTAACTGAAACCACGCATTCTGCTGGTATTTGTTACCACATAACAGAACCCACACTGAAAAAGGCTTACCTAAAATTACTCTCTGTAAATTTAAATTCTCTATAACTGCCATTAAGGAAGGCTTATATCTCAAGTAAGATTCCAGGTCTAAAACCATATTATCTTGCCTTTTTTTTTTAATTTTTTTTGGGGAAGATGGATCGCTCTTAAAAAATTAGTTTTCATTAGTACTTTCACTATTAACAAAGACATCAGGTTGCATCTGGAAATGAAAAAACTGCAGGTTGACTTTAAACCCTGAGAGCTGAGCTATTTGCTCTGCCCCTAAATCAGTCTCCTGGTTTGAAAATGAGAGAATAAAGAAAAAACACAAGCGAGGCACTAATTGCACCCTCGAGTCCCAGAAACCTTTTGGGCACTTTATGAAAGTTTTGTTGCCACTCCCCAGCAATTAAAAACTGGAGGGAAATTATCAATACTCCTTCCAAAGGACACTAATGAGGGTCCAGTTCTCCACAGTCCCATAACAGGAAGCAACAGAGAAATCTGTTCAAGCCAGAGTGGTGGAGCTTTGCACAGTTAACAAACACCATCAGCATTCACACCTCAGTCAAAATGTTCACTTCAATGCTCCTTTCCCCCTTTAAATGCATACTATTAAATGTTATACTCACAAGGTAAATTAGCTTCAAGGTCTGCAACCTCTGTTGAAAGAAAGAAAAATAAATTATTTATGCAAGCATAAAGCCCTCCTTCAAGTCCAAATTGACAGATCTAATTTAAACCACCCCACAAATCCAATTTTACTTAAAAATATAATTAAGCTGCAGTGGAAGTTTACCTTGAAATTTCTCTTTAAGCCACTCAATTCATTACTAAAATGCTCATCTGCCCTACAGACATGGGAAATGCACCCTCCTTTGATGGGGAGCTCAGCTCTGCCATGACTGAAGCACCAGGGCTGCTACCTCAGAGAGCACAGGCATTCCCAAAGCACAAGTTTTGTTACTGATATGCACTCCTATTCAATTAAATTTTCCTTTTTATTTATTTTCTGAGCTTAAAATTCATAAAAGAAAGGAAGCATCCTGATTCTGTTCCACAGCCCCTAGGAAATGAAGTTTTGAGGGTATTCCTAAGCCTGCCAAGTCACCTTCCCTGGAAAAATCCCTGCTTTTGTGAACTTTATTGAAATCTTACTTCAAATTTCTCATGAACCAGATGCATCAAAGTATCTCCCCACTTTACTTCTGAAGTCCAAGGAAATAAAATTGAGTATATTTTTGTCCTTTCCTGTGGTCTTATTTTCCATTTCTAACTTTGCTTTCAGGCCCCCACAGACACAGCCCATTTATTTGAGCTGACAACATGCAGGAGATTTCAATTCCAACTCTCAAAACCACACATCTGAAGGCAACTGTCACTCAGAATCCCTGGCACTGAATCCAAACTGACCTCATCACAACTCTCACTAACTCTCCAGAGCTTCTCCTGCCACCCATGCTTACCAAACCTGGCATTTGGGAATGATGTTTATTTGACTCCCATTTCCCTTGTGCTTGGCACACCCTGCACCTGCAGCCTACTACACCAAGAGAAAAAAAACCACCAAAACAGAAGCATTGTGCTTCACACTTACATAAAATATTCACAACTTCACTCTTTTAAAACCCCACACGTGCAGCCAGAGCTGATTTAACCAAAGCCATGCACTGAAAGACAACGCTGGAGCCACACTTTTGCTAAAGTACTGTCTTTATAAAATATACACACACAAAAATGTAATTGCAGCTGTAATCAAGGACTTTATTTCAATTTTCCCTTCCTGGTTGATAAAAAAAGATGTGACAACCAACCCCTGAAGGCTGCAGCTATGTAAACTTTTCCCAAGATTATTCCCTCACTCCTTCCTTTAAATTCACCAGCCTTTCACAGTGGCACATCAATCTTCACTGCAGTGCAAAGTTTAGGACCTGGTTCAATTATCTGAAGGTGTTGACTGCTTTCCTTTATTGCCTTCTGTGCTTGTGTGATGTTCACCTCAATGAATCCTGCCTGCCCTCTCCTGATCCCACAAAAGGGAGACATTTAAGGGCAGAGCATGCTCAGTCCCAGCAGGGGCTGAGCAGCTCTGCCTCCTGCAAGGTTCAGCAGAGTTTACAGCCACCAGAGTTCCTCTCAAGTGTGAAAATTCCCTGTGATGTGCTCACACTCCTGTGTTTCTCTCTGCCTTGGCCCAGGAATGAGTGGTTTTTCTTGTGAAAACACGAGAACAAAATGCCCACACCCAGCAGAAGGCAGCACTGTGCTCCTTCTCTGAAGATGTGCACACAGGTGGGAATGCTGTGCTAATAAACCCACACAAAACTTTTGGAAACAAAGACAAATGGCCCAAAATTGAGGTTTCTAATGAACTCTGCAACAAACCACAAACTAAGAATGAAACAACCTCATGCAGACCAAGCAGATAAAGATCTGCTTCAATAATCTGAATGTTTAAAGCAGCATCAAGTAAGGCAATATTACTATAACTGTGCCACATGAACAACCACTGGTGATTCACCAATTAACAAGCACATTTAACAGGCCAAAGCTCAGTGTTTGAGGGTTTTCCAAATTCTGTGTCTCTCTGGTGGTGACAGCATTGACATTAGAGCCATTTCTGTAGGCTGCTGCTCAGAAAGCAAACATTTTGACCAGAGCATTCAAGCTCCATTGAGATTTTGATGGTTTAACTCACACATTTTCTGCACAAATCAATACCTCTGGCATGAGCATTCTGTAAGAAAACACCCCTTGTGCAGGCTGCCAACCTATTTAACAGAGATTTGTGAACAAGCAAAGCATGGAAGTGACAGAGCTCCAATGCACTGAACTCCCAAGAGCTCCAAAAGCTTCACTAAATTAAAGAACAAACTTTTTTCTAACCTATTTCCTAGTTACAGTACCTTATAAATATTTTTCAGCCTATTAACTTCTACCACACAATACTACTAACTTCTAATCACCTATATTTTTTCTCATGTAGTCCTACAATACATTTTTCACAATTCCAATTCTCTAAGATATCCAGCCTTTTATAACTTTTATAGATATTCTTTTTATATTATTCATATTTTAATATTATATAGCCTATATATGTTGTATATATATTTTTATATAAACTTTTTTATTTACATTCTGCTTTGACCTAAAGTGTAGGGTAAAAGTAAATTATCAGAATTGCTCTGGGTAGATGCCACTTATCACTGACCAGAACATTTGTTTCCTACATAAAAGTGTCTCCTGTCTGTGGTGTAATATGTCACTGTTACAGTATTTTAAAACTTGTTAAAACTTATTTCTATTTCAATCTCTCTCAACAATATCATCTGTATTCCATAACCTCCCAAAGTCAACACACCTTATTTTGGTGTTTACAGACAAATATACAAGACTGTATAAACTTTCTATCAAGTTTTAAAAATTCTTTACAAATCCATTTCCCACACAAACTTAATAGTTTTTCTGAGCTCTTCTTTCAAGAAATGACTGTCACTACAGCTAAACAGTGAAGAAAACTCAGTTTGAGTACTTTTCATGGTAATTTTGTGGAGAATCTGCATCTGAGTCTCAATTCACACCATAAAGACAGGAGACAACCAGAACACCCAAGTGGCAGGAACTCTGAAGAGTCCATCTGGTGCTCCCAAAACCTGGTGTGACCTGCTGCAGGAGCAGCCCCAGTGGAGGTGGATGTGCACATCCTGCTCTTGACCCAGCACACACTTGAGCAGTTCCACATCTATTTTAAACCATCAAAAAGGAGAGGCTTAAACTTAAACCCAACACAAACACTGCAAGAGCTGAATGCAAACAGATTGTGGCTCAGCTTTTCTCCCTCCTGTACAGCTCCTGAGCTGCTTCTAAGCCTAACAGAAGCAGCCAGAGTTATTTATAAATGATTTCACAAACAATAACTCTCCCTGCCCATGACAGTTCTCCAGACAGAAATAGGAACACTCCTGCTGTGTGTACAAGGTTTATGAATGCTCAGTGCACACACCACAGCCCCACTGCTCTGCCCTCTCCCCAAGTCAGAATTTAGCAGTGCTTTGTTTACTAAGCCTTCCACAAAAATCAGACTCTATGCTTGATTTTGGAGCTGGAGTTTGGTTTTAAGTACACCAAATAAAAGCATTATTTCCTCAAGTGAACAGTCTCACCCACAGCAGTATTACTTCTCTCTAGTTTTGTTTAAAAAGCCCCCTCTCCTGTTTAGGTCCCTGAACATTAAATACTTCGACATTAATAAAAATTCCATTTTTCAGTACTAATTCTAATACTCTATTAATTCCAGAAATACTGTTTGCCTCCTCATTCTTATCCATCTCTCTTTATAGTGCTCCCTACTTAGCTCCTCTGAACTGTACAGACCAGTGTAAGAAAAAAAGTATTTTCTCACCTCTCAACTTTCCTCACCTGTTTTTGTGAGGAGGGATATTACTATTTTAAAGGCTTGAATAAAACAAATAAATGGTTTCCCTCATTTTTAGTTACAACAGATATTCACCTCACTTTCACCATCAGTTTCCCACTTCCATTCTCTCAGGTTTAAACAGAGGCACACATTAAATATTTTCTGGTTACATAAATATAGCAGTAAAAGCCACAGATATTGAAGACAACCAAGGAATAAACCTTGTTAACTCATTTTCACATATATTATTTCAAGTTGCCACAATCAAACTAAGCAGTAGCAGTAATATAAAAGTGGATGATGAAGTTTCTGTGCAATACCAAAAATGCAATGTAAGGGACAACCTTTATGATCCACGAGCTGCTGCTGCCATCCTGGTGCTCTCTATCTTTAATTCCATTTAGCAATCACCTTCATTATACAATATTAATCTTAAATATCACTTGGGTTCATCCTCAGCCCTTTTTAAATTTCAGAAAGGATTTGCCTTTCAAGCTCAGCACTGCACACTTGCCATGAGGAGCAGTCATGTGGTCCCTGCTCCCAGCTTAATGAAGTTCCCCTCAGAAATGAACAGGACACTAAAAATTGCCTCTGCAGCACAGAACAAAATGAAAGCTGCTGAAGCAATTGTACTGCTTGCTCTATTTTAATTTGGGCACTGGGCTTACAGAATTAGGGCCTTACTCTCCAACTGAGCCTAGATGGAAATGCAGTGAGAACAGATGAACAGATGAGTCACACGGAATTTTGAACAAAGCTGTGCTTTACTAGACCCTCTCTACAGCTGGAAAAGAACATCCAAATGACTCAGAATTACTTCCCTAGATATAAAACTTTAGTGACAGAGAGATTTCTATTCATAATACATCCATAAAATAACCCAAGTGTCCTGAGACATGACTGACATCTCAATCTGTAGCAATGCTGGATAGAAGCAGTCAAAGGAAGAACGTAAGGAAAAACCAACAAAGGGCACCAGTACTTTAAGAGCAGCTTTCCCCAGAAGTGGAACAAAGCCTGTTTAACGTGCATCCATCAATGAAGTCAAGGTCAGTGCCTGCCACCACTATTTCCAACACCAACTGAATGTTTCTTCATACCCATAGTGCAAATAGCTATCATACCTAAATTAGCACTTATTTTTAGCACTTACTTTTCCTACTTTCAGGCATGCATGCCAAGTCTTTAAAAGTCTGTAAGCATCACCTGCACTTGTCAGTGGCTGGGGTGCTGGTCATCACCTCAATCAAAACAGAAATGATCAGGCAGAGCACACAACACAGCTGAGGGCTGCAGGGGTACCAGTGTGCCAACACATCCTTCAGGGATCTGCACTGCCTTCCTGCACTGGACTCTTTATCACACAAACAAGGCTGTCTGCAATTCACCTCCAGAAGAAAACCACAGTCTGTGTCTGGGCAACACCCTTAGCAAGGCTGGCAGACATCTGTCTGCAGGATTTATTAGATGATCCCTCATTTACTGTGGAGCAGGGACAGGACAGTGGTGCTTCACCACTGGCAGAACACTCCAGGCCTTTTCTCACCTCCTCCTCCTCCCTTGCTGAAGGCCAGGATTTCTCTTCTTTTATGCAGGAGAGATTATTTTCTGATTTGTTGCCAGGACACTGACCTGATGGAGCCTTTCTCCTGTTCTGCCACTGTCATCTGTTTGTAACTCCAGCCAAAACACACACCAGTGACAACTTCTACTTACAGCTACTCTTCCGGGCTCCTGCTGGCTTTGGGATCCATCACAACAATCTAAGTTCAGCTCTTGCAGCTCCATAGCCAAGCTCCAGCTGCAGCAGCATCCCTGCTGCGTGCACACCTTCAGCAGGCAGCTCTGCACTCCTGTCCAAACTCATTCCTGCAATCTTTGCATGACCTAGCAACACCATCAGCATCACAAGCTCACTCCACTCAGTCTCACCACATCGTAGGTGCTGCTGCAGCTCGTCTGTCTGAAAGGCTGAAGCAAATTCTAAAAACTTGTAAGCAAATGGTTTACATTTCACTTCAGCAGCTTAAAACAGAACATCCCCAAAAAGCCTTTCCCACTGCTTTCCCCTCTCACTGCCAGCAGCTCCACTGGAATGATCTGCTTCTCCTGTCAGGCCCATTTCACCCAGAAACCACCCTCAGCACACTGACAGCTGCTCCCACAGCTCTCCTGGGAAACCATCGTCATTGTGGTGCTGCATCCTCTCTCCCAAGCTCTGGCATGCTCTGCAATTCCAGCAATCCCTATCAGGCCCTGACCTTTGCACAAGAGCTGTGGTGAAGCTTTCCTGAGCTGCACCAGGAACTCCTGCTCCTGGACAAGGTGGGAGATGGGAGCAGGAATAACCAGTCATTCCCTGATGGCTTTGGAACATTCCTTAGCTGAATTACAGCCTGAGTAAAATGGTACCATTCTCACCTGAATTTCAAAAAATTCCAGTAATCCCCAAAAAGGATTAACAGATTAAAAATCTGAGGGGGGATTTTTAAAATGTACTCCCATACATATCCATACATGTGTGGCTTATCTTTGCACATCTATATATATTTGTGTATGTGAGTGCATTAACCTGAACACACTATAAAACACTATCTTATTATCTTGAATCTATGTTTATAGCTGATTAATAATTAATATAACACTCAAGTGCTTTTATTATTAAGTTCTGCTAAATCTTTTAGATATAACTGTTCAGTCCAAGCCTGAGACTGGGCCCAGCTGCACTGAGACTCCTCCCTGAGGAGTTTAGAAAGGAAGGAATTTCACCCTGAACCTCCTGACTCAATCAGGAGTTTCCTTTACCTTTTTCCCTTTCCTCTTTTCATTCCAGCCTCTGCATGTATCACCCTAAATTGACCCTAATTTTATTTTCCTTTACATGCATTACCCCAGGCAGTAAGCAGTATGCTTACCAACATTTGTTGTTGTTTTGCAAATTTCTGTTAAGGCACATTTTCCCAATGCCTTTGATGGTGACTCTCTGAGTGACCTACACCACTCATTTCACAGCAGGGATGCAACTTCCATGCACAGTCAGATCAGGATCCAGCACTCAGCCATGTGAGCACTGACCTGCTTTTAACATTTGTCAGTCTGGGACTCGTTCAATACTTAGTCTGAACTCAGTTAGTTTAAATACTTCGTTTTATTAAGTATTTTTAATTTACAGGTTCTTTTTTTACTTTTATTTAAATAGCTGGTTTGCTATCACAGCCACAGCAACTACAATTACAATGTCAATATTAATTTTCTACATTTTCTTCCTCCCCTGCACACTTGGGTATGGTTTTGAAAAACATGATTGCTCTAAGGGCAGAGTAAAATTTCTTTGCCCCCCTCACATGAAGGGTATTTATTTCACACTGTTATCTTCCCCTCAAGTCTATAGGTTAGGGAAAATCTCAGATTATGTATATTTAGTAATTTGGCTTTGTAGCTTAGCCTGGTTAAACAGCTTATATCTTCCCCTCAAGTCTATACCTGTAGGTTAGGGAAAATCTCATATTATGTTAGTAATTTGGCTTTGTAGCTTAGCCTGGTTAAACAGCTTATTTCTCCTGCCTGAATCATTCCCTCTCAATGAGGATTTCCAAATTGGAGGTGTAAGAGTGATCAAAATAATGATTTAAAACGTGTAGAACTTCCCTGTCCTTAAAACAAGACAGGGAGAAAATTGTGGACACAACATTCCTACAGCCCAGGTGAGGCACTTCCAGTGCACTGAGGCAGCAGTGTTTGCAGTGACACTTTGCTCCAGATATCTGACAGAATTTACCCTGATTTAGGAAAAAACCATATGCAGTGCTAGTCAGGTAATATTAGTCAGGCAATTATAGCCATGTCAGCCTCAAATCATCCTGAAACAAGAACAGGAAATGTGGATTTCCTCTGACTGGCATGAATCTCAACAGTGCCAGCTTCAACAGCAGAGTACTTGCTACTGATCATTTTCAGCAGAAACTTCAACCTAAACAACACATTCCTGTGCCACTAACATTCAACTGTTACCAGAGGGACTGAACCTACTTTAAATCCACAGTAACTGCAAGCTGTCAGCACCTATGGATTTTTAAATGTAGTATTATCTATGCTACAAAAAAAAAAAAATCAGTGAAGGAAAGAGCTGTCTAACAATGAAACAGTTTAATTATTGTTTCCTTAACTACCCCATTTACCCCCAACTGCCAAGCAGTAGGTTTGGGGCTTCTTTTCCACCAGCCTACAGCAGTCTTCCTAAAACACACCACACTGCAATCACTGGTTTATTAATTCACAACTTCACACTCAACTTATATTGACTCCAGGCCTAGAAAAATCTCTCTCTGCACTGCTTTTTATAATCTTGTTAAAGTGTGCTGCCTCTGACCTGTGCCATTAAAACCACTGTTGCGACTTTCAGGGTGTTTTTTTCCTGTGACAGGCAGTTATAGTTTTGCTCAAAAAACACCTTCACACCAAGGCAGACAGACTTCTGTTGACATTCTCCTCCTCTACATTCAATGCCATTCATGTGGCAATTTTTTATCATGTTTTAATTGATGATGGACTAATTTTCAACAGAGTAAGGAAGACACTTGTTTTGATTTTCATCATTCAATAATAAGTGAAGGAAAGAGCTGTCTAACAATGAAACAGTTTAATTATTGTTTCCTTAACTACCCCATTTACCCCCAACTGCCAAGCAGTAGGTTTGGGGCTTCTTTTCCACCAGCCTACAGCAGTCTTCCTAAAACACACCACACTGCAATCACTGGTTTATTATTCACAACTTCACACTCAACTTATAGTGACTCCAGGCCTAGAAAAATCTCTCTCTGTACTGCTTTTTAAAATCTTGTTAAAGTGTGCTGCCTCTGACCTGTGCCATTAAAACCACTGTTGCGACTTTCAGGGTGTTTTTTTCCTGTGACAGGCAGTTATAGTTTTGCTCAAAAAACACCTTCACACCAAGGCAGACAGACTTCTGTTGACATTCTCCTCCTCTACATTCAATGCCATTCATGTGGCAATTTTTTATCATGTTTTAATTGATGATGGACTAATTTTCAACAGAGTAAGGAAGACACTTGTTTTGATTTTCATCATTCAATAAAAATAAGTGTCCTGCTGTCATCACAATGGGTAATAACTGACGTAGACTCCAGGGATTTCAGAAGGCTAATAATGATTTTCTTTATTAAGAAAATCATCTTTTAATCTTTATTAAGATTAAAATCATTGCTTTTTTATACCCTAGCTCACTACAGGTGTATCTAATTGGTCCTTGAATTAAAGCACCATCACCACTGGCCAATTAAGAAACCACCTTTGGCAAACAAATCTCCATCACACATTCCACATGTTCACACCACCAGGTAAGGATTGTTTCTCATTCTTTGCTCTGATCGTCTCACAGCCTTTCCCAGAGCGATGCCTGGGGAAGTGTCTGTTTCTCTCAGTGACCAGAGATCTGCTGCCACATCCTACAGCACATTTCAAAAACACCTGTGTGAACTTATAGGCAATTCAGTGCTGCTGACTGAAAGCAGAGAACCCAGCCTATTGCAATTTTGTGTCACCTTTAACGAGCAGCTTGTCCCGGACAGACACCCTGCGGGTGGAGTCCGCCGCTGGGGTGGGCGCACGGGGGCCTCTGACGCCGTCATCCCGCTTCAGCTTGCTTGCCAGAGTTAGCATCACTGCTGCTTCCCTCCTGCAACACAACACAGGGACAGTCACACGCCTGGGGCACGAGCACCACAGCTCAGAGGTGCTGAGGTGCCTCAAGCTTGGCTTTTGTGTTTTCTAGATTCTGTGCTGCTGCAGTGTGTAACTCTGAGATTCACATTGAGTGTTGGCGAGCTCTCTTCACAGGCAGGCAGGCACAACAATCCTTTCCCAGCTTGTCCAAGGACAGCTGTTACAAGCTCCAGGCCCAAAATGTACAAACAATGAACTGAAGAGAGAAAAACGAGAGGATGGGACTTCATATCCTGAAGCTATAACTGGACAATTAACTCCAATATGCAAATAGACCAGAACTTATAAAAGTGAGAGACCCCGGACCAGTTGTTCATTTTGTGACCATTTTGGTTCATTTTGGGCGCAGCCCTGGCTGGGCTCTTGTGCTGCCCAAGGAGTGTCCATTGAGGAAATCCTTTTAGTAAATCCCTGCTTTATTCTTTAGCTCTGCCCAGCCTCTGTCCCAGGTCAGAGCTGACCAAGGAGTGAAGGAACACCACAAGGCAGAGGTGCTGCATGCAGTAAGGTGAACAAAGGTGGGGATGGCCCCAGCACCTGAGGAATGAGCTTGTTTGGGCTGGGAGCACTGAGGGAGGTGAGTGCATCAGGCCAAGAGGAAATCCAGTTTTCTGAGAGAGGTCATGCTCACATCAGTGTTTACAGCCCCCTCTCACTGCCTGACACTGCTCCTTCAAAAGAGCTGCTGTGAAAACACCCCTGTGAGGGGTGCTCTGCTCCACACCTCACAGACAACACCCACAGCTACCTTTTGCCTGGCCAAAAGGGAAAAAGATAACCAGGAGAAAGGGCAGGGATTCCTGGAACAACTCTCTAACTAGGAAGTGAGCTCTGAGACAGCTCCCAGGGCACAGGAAAGGGACTGAGGTGCAGACTGCAGTCACCCACACAGCACTAAAACCCCAACACACAGAGACCAAGGAGCTGAAATGAAGAGATGCTCCTGCTGTGCCAGCCATCCACTCTGGGAAATCACACACTGCTGAATTCATTCCAGTGAAAGGGGGCCAAAACACCCAACCTGTCATGGCTTCACATGTTTTGGTGCTGCTCTCAGTAGAGGGCAACTCCTCCTCCTTTAACATTTTGGCTAAAACCAACACAGTGCTGACAAAACCCAAACCCCCAAACAGCTAAAATGGTAGGGGAGCTGCTTATTATTTAAATCATACCAATTAATTCAACCAAATAAAGGGGAGGGAAATGCAAAAAGCCAGGGTATAATCTTTACTTGGAGGCTGAGAAGGACTCAATAGAAAAGTGAGCAACAGAGCTTAAAAAAAAAATAAAAAAAAAAAAAAGAAGAAAAAAAAAGAGGGGAGCGGGGTCTGAAAAGTACTGAACGCGGCCATAAATTAAAAACCCGGGAAAAAAAAAACCTGTAAGCCGCAGACCAGCTGTTCCCTCAAAAATGCCCCCATCTTTCACCTTCGATGGGCTTTAGATGCCTAAATACCTTCCCAACTTGTCCTGAACAACCAGGAAACCCAAGAGGAGTACAACCAGTCTGGAAAAGAAATTATTCGCCTCGGCAGCATCCCAAATTCTAATAAAACCCATCAAGAAAGCACTGTGAAACAGCGGGTAAAGCTTTACCGAGGAGGCAGAGGAGCAAGGGATGTGCTTATTTCTAAGGAAGGCAGCAAGAGCCCGGGGAATTCTGCAGCTCCCAGAGCCAGGGCAGCCCCTCGGCAAGGCACGGCGCTGAGGGGCCGGGAGCCGCGGCCTGGCGGGCCGGCAGACGCGGGGACAGCGGGAGCGGCCAGGCCCGAGCCCAAGCTGCGGGAAGCGGGGCAGCCCGCACGTACCTGAGCGCGGCGTCAGGGCCCGGCAGCCGCGGCCAACACCATCCCCGGCGCCGGCCCGGGGAGCGGCGGCGGCGGCTCCTCCTTCCTCCTCCGCCGCCTCTTCCTCCTCCCCTCACGGCCCAGATCTCGCGAGAGCCCGGGCCGGGCAGCAGAGTGCCCCCGCGGCCGTCTCGCGAGAGTTTGTCGGGGGAGGCCGTTAGCCGCCGGGAGGGCGGCGCCATGTCGGGGCGGCCGCTGAGGGGCCCCTCAGGCGGCGCCGCCATGTTGGGGCGCTCCCTCAGCGCCAGCGGGGTGCCGCAGTGCCTGGGGGAACTTATGTCATTTATCTGTCCTCAGGCCCAATTTTGTCGCCTTTTGTAAACAGAATCACACAATCCTTAAGGTTAGGAAGGATCTCTGAGATCGCGCCTTTGGCGGATCTTCACCGTGTCACCCCGCCCGCGGCACTGAGTGCCCCATCCTGCAACACCTCCTTCCTCGCTTAAGGAATGAGTCGTTCCCTGAACATCTCCGGAGATGCTGATCCCACCCCCTTCCTGGCGAGCCGTTCCCCATAAATTCCCTTATTTTCCTGTCCCCTCACACTGCTGTGGAAAGGGGGGTGATTTGGCCACAATATAAATTAATGCTGAGTCTGCGGCAAATAGGAGCACGGCAAGAGGGAGAAAAAGGATTGTTCAGGAGCAGAGCTTAGCCAGTTTGCAGCGTTTCCCTTAGTTAAGGCAAATCTACTATTAATTAAATCTACTATTAATTAAATTAATCTACTAATCTACCTAAATTAATCTACTATTTGTACACTCCAGCAGCAGATGAGTGGAAGACTAGTGAATCAGATGGAACAGTCAATATGTCAATAATATCAGTATGCAACAGTCAATTGTGAGAAAAATTACTCACTATTTAAAATTTTTATAAAAGTTTATTAAGGGATAAAAGGGATAAAACCCAGCGCTGGGGTGCTTGGCTATTTGCCAAAATAAAAATAAATAAATAAAAACTTCACCCATGTTCTCTATAAACTGTTACATTACAGGGAGTACATGCATATTCATAGGCATTTATACATATTCAAACATTCCTTTGAGTTTAGATGTGCTTTTGCTTTGTTTTAACCTTTGACTTCTTGCTATCCTGTAGATTAAACCAATATATTTTATTTCTTCTTGTGGTTCCATCCCGTTGTATTTTCACTCCCTGATAATGAGGGTTAATAAATTCCTTTATCCAGTGCTCTGGTTTCTGTTTCCGTTATCTTGTCTTTCAGATAAGATAGTCGCTAATGTGGGAAATCACTTAATTATTTTACACCATTTTCTGAGTTAGTTACGTGTAAAAGCATTTTAACATTTCACAGTCTATTATGCTACAGTCTAAGATAGTATATATTACACTACTATCTAGAAAAGCTGTACAGTGCATACATAAATTGACATTATACTACATCAGAAGCCTTTACAACTTGCACTATATCAGGATTTTTGCGATCAGTAATAACTTGAAAAAGCTAATACATAAATGCGAAAGCCAGTAACTGTATTTGTTGTTTATAACATCAATCAAATAGAAATATCAATCTTATAGAAGCACAAGTCCACTAGATGGAAAAAATGATCGTGAGAGTGCATTTGGTGATGGAGAGTGAATACTTGGGTATCGTAACTAGACTGCCCAAAAACTTCAGAAATTTCCACAGTTCTGTTAAACCTGTAAAAGAGGTGCATAAATTTAAGTTTTTCCACTAAATAAGGGAACAAAACTTGGAAGCAGCACCCAGGTCAGAAGGTGTGGTCAGGCAGAGCCAGAGACCTGACATGGGAATTCTGGCAGGCTGAATATACTGAAATACTCACTGCATCCTAAACATTCCCTGCAGGGACACCACTGCCCCTTCCCCAAAAACAAACTGCACTGAGCTCACTGAAATCCGGCTAATCCAGCACAGAGCCCTTTCCTCCCTCCTTCGGCTTTTCCATCCAGATCCATGTGTCCTTTGGGGGAATGGCATCTGCCTGCTGGGAGCCCACAGAGCATTCCCACAGCCCGGATTTTGGGGGGAAATGGCATCTGCCTGCTGGGAGCCCAGAGAGCATTCCCGCAGCCCGGATTTCGGGGGGAAATGGCATCTGCCTGCTGGGAGCCCGCAGAGCAGAGCATTCCCGCAGCCCGGATTTTGGGGGGAAATGGCATCTGCCTGCTGGGAGCCCACAGAGCAGAGCATTCCAGCAGCCCGGATTTTCAGGAGAACGCGCTGCGCCTCGCCGCAGCCGAGCCCCGCATTCCACGGGGAATTCCCGCGGCGCCTCCGGGGCTCTCCCCGCCCTTGGGAGGCGTTGGCCCCAGGGCGGTTCCCTCGGGATGGGTTTCCATTGCCCCGGGCGCTGCTCCTGGCATTGGATGGCAGCTCCTGGGGCGCCCCGAGCGACGGAATGCCGGAAAGCTCTCCCAGAAATCCCAACATCCAGGCGTTTTTCCTCTGCCCGCCCCCAGAGGTTCCTTTTGGGCAGTGTCCTTGCCGGGATGTGCGGGCGATACCTGTGCGGTGGCATTGCAGAAAAGCACGCTAAAATAAGCTTATCTGCTTACGGTAGCTAACTACTTTAGTTTTCATATTAAATAGCAGACAAGAAAATAACACATACAGGCAAGTATGCAGAATATACTCTTTAATAAATAGCAGGTAAAAAAATAGATCTCCTTAAAAACATTTTGAGAACCGGAAAAACAGAGGTACCTTATAAATACGCACATTCACGTTCTTTCGGGAAGGGCATTACTTCGCCTTGTCCCGAGCCAATAATTTAAAAGACAGTAGAAAAAATAAAATAAAATTAAAAGAATTTTTTCCTCAGCTCGCATAAAAGAAGGGTTACATGGGTGAAACAGGCAGTAGCAGTCGTTTTTCCCGGTCCTTCTCCCGGGGGCGGTGCCGCGGGGCGCTTCACCTCCGGGCGGGCCCGGCAGCGCGGCACTTGTCCTGGAGCGCCCAGCAGCGCAGGTTGTCCTGCACCTGCATGACGAACGGGATGGTGGCGGCCCTGAGGCACGCCGTGCTCTCCTGCGGGGCGACACGGGCTGGGTCAGCTCTGCACAGGGCGCTTTTGACACCCCAAAAAGGCTGCAAGCCCCGCCGGCCCCACTTACTGTGCGCAGGGCCTCCTGCAGCCGGTGCAGCCAGCGCCGCAGCTTGCCCGAGGGCTGGAGCCCGGGATCCACCTGCAGGGAGAGCGGCCGGCTCAGCAGCGGCACGGAGCGGGCCGCGGCCGGCCGGGGCAGGGCTGGGGAGGCACTCACGCAGCCCAGCACGTCCTCCCGGGCGTTCCTGAAGAACTCCAGGGGCTGCCGGCTGGCCTCGGCGAAGCTGGGGGAAGCGGGCAGCTCCAGCATGGCGATGGTGAGGTTCAGCTCGGCCGCCACCAGCAGCACGCGGTCGGACATCTGTGGGGGAGAGTTTTGTGGTTAAGGCAGCCGAAGCAGCAGGGCTGGAGGATGGGGTCTCGGAGACCTGCCCAGGGGTGGAGGGGGAAGCGGCGGACAGGAGAGCCGTGCCCCCTTTTTGCAGCATCACCTCGCTCTTACCGGCAGGTTTACCGCGTTCCATCTCCGGTGGAAGAGCTTGGTGTTGCATTTGTGGTCCTTCATCTGCTGGCATAAACCGAGAGAGAGACTGAACAACTCTCATCGTGACTTCTGGCTATGTTGGACAACCCTGGCCAGCCTTGAGGGGTCTGAAACCAGGATGGCCCAGCATCCTTCATGCCCCCAAACACCATTGGAAAACATCTTGCTCATCCCCAAACTGCCGCAGAAAACCTGCGCTTTGTCACTCAGCTCTTGAATTCAGCATCCCCTCCCAGCCCACAGCCCCCCGTTGCCGGCAGTACTCACAACCTCATGTCTCATGTTGCTCAGAGCCTGCTGCTGCTTGGGTGCAATGTGCTGGTACTTGGAGGGCCTGCAGCCATTCCCCGGGGCGTCATGGGGAAAGGCAGCCCCCAGGCTGACCCCCAGCACCAGCACGAGCAGTGCGGCGACGCTGAGGCTGAGGTGCAGCATTTTGGCAAGGAAAGCTGGACAGCCGGCGATGGAGCACGACGGGGTGAGGAGGCTGCGGTGCAGGATGCCAGAGAGGATGAACAGCAGGACTCCAGGCAGGATTCGCTAAATTCCAGCTGCAGAGGTGCCTGACAGGTGCTACAGGTGGCTTCTTCAGACGTGGAGCTGCTGAGCTGCTGGATGTCCCAAGGAGTTCCTTTGCCTTGCTCGCTGTGGCTGCCTTGCTGCTCCATCTCCAGCTTTTTATTCCTGCCTGGTGCTTTCATCTTCGCAGGAAAACCCTGGGCTGGTACAGCTGAAAACAAGAAAATGAAAGTGGTGCAGGGAATCTCCCCTTGTTTCTCATACCTGCCCAGCTGCCTCCAGCTCTGCCTGCTCTGCCTCAGCCCAGGATGCCGGGGGATGCTGGGGCTGGGGCTGGCAAGTGGGGGGATGCCAGCAGGACCCATCCCCACCCCGTGCTGAAAGCTGTGGGAGACACCTGGGGACAACAGGTCCACGGGGACAGGAGGGGTGTGGTGCCTCCTGAGTGGCAGCAGGAGTTCAGGCTTCAGTTTTCCCGTGGTGGGTTGGGGCCATAAGCAGCAGCCAGGAGTGGGCACTGCACTGTCCGGGCTGCAGGCATGAGCTTTTATGGCTGTGTTATCCTGAGGGACCAGGCTCTCCACCAAAGCAGGGAAAAAGGAGAAAGCAGAAGCACTTCCACCTGAAGTTTTCCAGGTGGGACACAGAGTTGTGTTTGGGAGATGAAGATGAGCAGAGCTGCCCCTGGGGCTGGCTGGGGTTTCCTCCCTCTTCATCCTGGAGACACAAATAGGGTGTATTGACATCCCTCTGCTGACAGCTGGAATGGTACCTCTCAGCAAACTGTCCTTCCATCAAGGGAACCTCCTAAAAGCACTGCTGTGCTTTTAAGTCTCATGCATTCATCAAGCATTAAATATAAAAAATTAGGGCAGTGCCTGGCTCTGGGAAGCAAAGAGAGTAAGGCATAAATGCACTTTGCACAATGACCACAGAACACTCCAGGAGGACCCAGTTTTTAATTGTCATATTTGGAACTGAAGTGCTGAGTTCAAAGGGTCCGAGAAAAGGAGAAAAGCTCTTGTGGAAGCATGTGGGAAGATACAGCTGTGGGTGAGCAGAGGGGCATGGATGAGGTCATGGGGTGGGCTGGGACCCTCAACACCATCCAGTCCAACCCTTGCTGTGGCAGGATCAGCTGGCACTGTCTGCCCAGGACAGCGGCCAAGGATGGAGCAGACACTTCACAGTCTCTGTTTTTCTTGTGTTCAGATGGACTTCCCTGGCTCAGCTTGTGCTGGGCTGTCACACCACCCTGACCCCTGAGCCTCCTCTTTCAGCCTTTCCTCATGGCAGAGATGTTCCTGTCCATCATCTTCATGACCTTGATTGGACTCCTCCAGCCCCTGCCACGTCTCTCTCCCACTGAGGAGCCCAAAACTGGCCCAGCACTTCAGGAGTGGCCTCACCACTGAGGAGAGGGGAGGAATCACCTTCCTCAGCCCTCTGGAAACACTCCTCCCAGTGCAGCCCTGGATACCATTCACCTTCTTTCCCACCAGGACGCTTTCCTGGCTCATGTTCAGTTAGTGAGGAGGTTGAGCAGGACCAGCTGTTGACTCACAGGGTCCATCCAGCCCCTCCTGAGCCCTTCCCCTGCTCCAGCAGCATCCCAGAGGGCTCAGATCATTCCTGGAAAACCATGATGGAGATGAAGAACGGGAAGGGGCAGCATGGATCAGACAGGGCTCAGATCTTTCCTGGAAAACCATGATGGAGATGAAGAATGGGAAGGGGCAGCATGGATCGGACAGTGGCTCGTTCCACTTTGTCCAGACTGGATGCAGACACAGCTTGGAGAAGAGCCAGGACAGCAAAACGTGGTGCTGAAGCCCCAGAGCGTGGTGGGCACAGGTTTTCCAGTCATGGATGTGGCCACTGGACCAGGCTCCTGTGCCAGCCTCCCTCACAGCAGCAGGTTGGGGGAGGTCAGTAATTAAAGTTGGGCCCTGGTGTGGGCTGGGTCCCTTGTCTGCCCTTTTGGGGAACAGGACAATGGCTCTGTCCTTCCTTTCTCTCGCATTAAAGAAACCCACAGGAGATAAATTTTTATTCAACACAACAAAGTTCATGATCAGTATAGCTGTGAAATACAAGTCCAAACCAGCATAAATAAGACCACTTCTGTCATCCAGACAGGCACAGCTCAGCTGGAATAGAGGGCAACTGAGCAGAAAATCCCAACAGATGAAAAATAAATGTGGTCCCCGGTGGGAGAGGGGTGATCCACCACCAACCCCGGTCCCACACCACCGATCTCTGCCGGGACACTTTCGGGTCACCCGTCGGGTCACAGAGCAGCATCACGTCCTCGTGGGACAGCTTCGGCTCCTGTTTCCCATGGCTGTGGCTTTTCTCTCCCAGGTGTCATTTCTGTTTGGAGAAGTAAAGCGAAACCTCATCTCTTCACACGTGCAAAAGGAAGTTCACAGGCGCCAAAGGAAAGCTAAAGCTGTGGGGCAAAGCCAGGCCATGAGCACAGCCCCCGGCACCCATGGTGGGATGGAGGGATGAGGATCTCTCCTGGGCACCCTGCTCAGATATTTGTGCCACTCCCAGCCATGGCTGAGCCCCCAGGGAACTGGCTGAGCAGCACTGAGAGCTTTTTCTTCACGGGATGCGTGTTGCCATCCTGGGCTTTGGTGTGTGTCTTGCCCAGCAATGCCACGCTCAGCAAATGCCAGCCCAGCAAAGCATGGCTGCATTCGCCACAGCTCCTCCAAACCGTGCCAGTGCCAGCTCCTGCCCTGGCAGTGGAGTCCCCAAAGCCAGCACGGGCAGGGGACATCACACCGTGCCCAACAGAGTCTACAGAGCACGGGGCACCCACCACAATCATTGCTCCAGTCCCAGTGATGCCTTGGGAAGGCTGACCTAGAACAGAGGCTGGACAGAGCTAAAGAATAAAGTAGGGATTTATTAGGAGGCCTCAATGGATCCACCTTGGGCAGCACAAGAGCCCAGCCAGGGCTGCACCCAAGATGAACCAAAATGGTCACAAAAATGGACAGCTGGTCACAGGGTCTCTCACTTTTATAAGTTCTGGTCCATTTACACATTGGAGTTAATTGTCCAATTACAGATTTATACCATGAAGTCCCATCTTGCTTGTCTTTCTCTCTTCAGTCCCTGTTGTTTTTGCTCTTGGGCCTGAGATCTGGATCATTTGTCCTTGGTCCCCAGCTAGAGAAGGAATTGTTTTGTCTGCCTGCTCTGTGCAGAGAGCTCACCATCCCCTCATATGAAGCCCAGACCCACACCCTAAAGCAGCACAGAATGTGAAAAATATAAAAGCTGAACCCTGAGGCATCACCGGCTGCCAATGGTGCTGTTCCAGGAGAGCAGCACAGATGGTGATGATGGAGCCCCTTCCTTGGAAGGCTGGAGTCACTCAAGCTTGCTTGGAGCAAGAAATCCCAGGTGTGGAATTTCCAGGTGCGAGACCAAAAGTGAAACCTGGCTGTGGGCAGGGCTGGCGTCAGCGCGGGTGAGGCAATCGCTCCCTGGTGACTCACGGGCTCCTGCATGGCACGAGCATGGCAAAGGTGCTCGCCACTGGCACCAGCATGGCAAAGGTGCTCGCCACGGGCCACGGCACCGGCGTGGGCAAGGATGAGCCCAGGTGGCTCCTGAGCCCGGTGGGCTAGTCTGGGAGGAGCCTAAAGTAGCTAAAGCAACTGGTCTGGGTAGAGAAGATAGGAAGAACAGAAAGCGTGCCCCAAAAAAGCCAGGTTTAAAAATAACCCCTTGGGTGAGGGTGGGAGCCCTGTCCATGGCCCGATGGTGCCAGGACAGGGGCAGCAGTGGGCTCTGCTCGTCAGCCAGTCCTGTCCCTGCCAGCCCAGGGTGTGTGTGGTGCCACCAAAGTGCCCCCAGCCCCACTGCATCCCCAGCACGTGTGAGCTGCAGCAGCCCCTGCAGTGGCTGGTGCTGCTCTGCTGATGCAATCCCTGCTGTGACCTCATGGCTGGGCACCCACTGCAGGGAGGGAAAGGCTTTTAAATTAAATCACAGGCGTAATTAGCGAGCAGACTTAAACTTGTTGTAAATTTAAAGTGAAGAAAAAACCCAAACACTTTTCCCCCAGAGCCTCTTTGCCAGCACTGTAGGGACACGGGATGCCACGTCCTGCAGGACCCCTCGCTGCCCTGGAATGTCTGCAGGGATGCACCCCACAGGGACAAGCCCTGCCAGCAGAACTGGGGCTGCCCCAGCCCGGGCAGCCCCTTGGCATGGCAGCAGTGGTGCCAGCCCGGGCAGGAGAGACCCCTCGTGCTCACCCAGCAAGGGAGGCCTGGAGCTGCTGCTGGCCCAAAGCCAAGCTGCACCTGGAGCAGCCTCACAGTGGCATCAGGGCCTGATCCAGTATTGCTGCCCCAGCACCAGCCACGGGCACAGAGCAGCCTCCCATCCACGATGGGCTTCCCACACCATAGCTGTGCTGCCGAGACCCCATCACCCTCCTGGGGGCAAAGCCTTTGCCCCCCACCCTGGGCAAGCTGAGGGCAGCTCAGTCAGGACCCTGAGAGCTCAGCAGAAGCACCTCCAGCCCCTCTCAGCCCCCTCTGGGGCTGGGAGCAGAGGTGGCACCTCACCTTTCTTAATAATGCACTGATGTGGAAGAGAGTGAGGGCACAGCCCTTCCCATGGTGTCAGGGAAGCTTTCTTGCCAAGGACAGGAATTACAGGAAAGGGAAGGATCCCTGCAGAGGGTGGGTCTGGACTTGAAATATCCAGAAGGCAAACAGGAGGTGACTTGTACCAGGGTATGCCCAACTTTGAGCCCTCATGTCTCCCCTTGCTCCTCCCAAAAAAACACAGTCTCTAATCTGCCCCTTGCAGCATGGGTGGGTGATAGGGCACAAACCTGCTCTCCTTCAGCAGTGATCCCATCAAGGCTCCTGAGCTGTCCTGAGGGATCTCACCAGGGCCAAGGCACTCCTGGGGCAGGTAAAGGTGCTGATACCTGCACCAGGGATGGGACACACTGTGGGTGAGAGCAGCCCCTGTCCAGGGCAGCCCTCTAAGGCACTGCACAGCTCCTCGCTTAGCCAGGGCAGGGAATGGCCCTTCCTCCCCCAAACCCACCCTCCCCACAGAGCAGAGGGGCACTGAGGGCTTCAGGACACTCAGTGTCAATGTAGCACAGTTATTCCCACACCAGTGGGTGCTCCACTGTCTCTTTGTAAAACAGGAAGCACAGGCAGCATTTTCTCAGCTTGCTTTTTAATTCTTATTAATTGTGTAAGAAATGCAGTGAGTTTCTCAGCTGTTCCTGTGGTTCTCTTCCCCACGTGTTACTAAACCAGCAATCCACAATGGGACACTTCCAGTGCCCAGGGAGCAGCACTGGGCAGACTGCAGGACCCAGGTGGACAGGAACCTGAGGGGCACAAAACCCCATCTGCTTCCCAGAGGAGATCAGAATTTCAATCAGCAGTAATCTTCCCAAGGAGTAAGAGTGGTTACAAGCAGGGCTTTAGGAGGCAATCCACCTTCCCCTTGATTGTAGCACCAGATCAGGAGCAGGGTTTGCTCTCAGCATGCCTTGCACCCCAGCACACAGACGTGCCTCACCAAGAACTCCACCGGGGTCTCACGAGAGGAAACTCCCATTGTCTCCAGCATCCTGCAAGGACAAGCAGAAGAAGGGTCTCACCCTGCCCACCTGATGTGGGGTAACACCCAGAGCCAGAGACACATCCCTTCCAGCCACAGCACACAGCGGGGATGGCAAATGCTTCCAGCTGCTGCACAAGGGCTGCTCTGGTCAGGGAATAAATGAGCAGCACCCCTTCCCCACAGGCCCTTGTTGGGGCTGAAACAGATGGGTCAGTGTTGGCATGCAGCCTCTCTGAGCTCCTCAGAGAGGGAGATGAATGCAGGGCTTGAACTAAAGCCTTTAGAGAAATTAAGATATATCAAACCACACAGATATGAAGTACAAGTGTAGGTTTAAATTTTAAGTAAAATAGAAGTGTGAGTTATAGTTTTAAGTAAGTTTAAGCTTTAGGTTTTAAGTAGGTAGAAATATATTTTAAGTGCCTTGAGAAACTGTACTAGCTAGCAAAGGCCCTAAAACCTAGTTTAAAGCTCAGCAACTTAGCCCTAGACATAACAAAAACATGGCAGAACCTTGCAGCCAGGCAGAATAGATAGAATAGATAGAATTATTCACATAGAACAGATAAAACTATATACGTAAACAGAACTATTCACGTGGATAGATAAACTTTCAAGTAAGGAAACAGATAGTACATTTGCATAAATAGATACTATGATATATGTAATTTTTAAAGAACTGACACTACTTTTGTACTACTTCTGCACATTAGAATCAAACCTAGATTGGCTTAGAAAGAATGTTTTAGAATCGTGTTTTCAGTTGATTGGGTGTTTTGTGAATAAAAAGTCTCTGTAATGGGGTGCAAAAGACAACATCAACAACCAACACAACCACAACTATCAACAACCACAAAGAAGAAGAAAACAGAGAAAGAAAATGAGAAGGATAACAAGAAAGAAAGCTGTGGTCCCTGCTGCTGCTGAGAACATCAGACTTGTCCCTGCTGCTGCTCAGGCATTGGACTCTGTGCCAGGGAACAACTGTTGCTGCTGCTGTTCCTGCACAGAGCCTGGGACTGTTCCAGAGAGCAGCCTTGCAGCTGCTGCCCTTGCTTGGGACTCAGCCAGAAAGCTTTTAGCACTGACTTGAACACCCTGACCTCTCTGCCTTCGAGATGATGCATTCATGCAATAGAGAACCTTAGAGCAGCCCACAACTGCTCGTGTCTCTTTGAAAACCCTAGACCCACTAAAGCTCAACAGGTGAAGATGCAACCACCAGTATTTTCCATTCCCTTTGCCAATTAAAAGCAAGGTAAAGAAACTCAGGATAGTCTCGTGTCAGAGGTTTCATGGATACAACGGTGCAGGCACATCCTACTGCTACACAGGAACCCCTGACAAGTGTCCCCTCTGGAATGGAGGGAGCACATCCCTGCAGGCTCCCCTGCAGCTTTGGAGGGGTCTGCACAACCTCCCTCTGTACAGGACAGGTCCTCCACACCCTGCTTGTTTTCTCACCTCTTTTCAGTCTCTTGGAGGAGGGATGTTGCAGCTGTAGGGTCACTCTTCTTGAAGGTTTGGTACGAAGAGGTGGACTCCATGTAACCAACCACACCCTCGACAGTCATGGGAATTGGGTCATAGATATCAGTGATTCTACAAGAGACACGGGCAAGTTAAATCTCAAAGGCAGGAGAACACAGACCACAGGTTGGCATGGTGGTGGATAAAATGTCTGACACCATCCAAGGTGGTTCTGCTCACCTCTTCTTGTCTGAGAATGGCAAGGCCTCAAAGATCGTTTTGTAGTCATCCAAGACATATTTTACTCTGTTATTTGAGTATTTTAAAATCTCGTCCCAGCACTGTAAAGACAGTGTATTAAAAACAAACACAAAACCACTTGAAGTTCTCAGATGCCACTTAGGTTTGGGCCTGCATGTGATACATTCTTATGTGTCCTTTTTTTAAAAAAAAAACTTATTGCATTAAAATACAGCAAAATCTTGCTTAATATAAAGAATTCAAGGATCCTGTTCTAGAAATAAGGCTCCTGTCCTCCTAACAGAGCTCTTACTCATAGTGCAAAGTCTCTTTTTATCCAGTTCTTAAAACAACCTTGGTCCAGAAAGATTGCTAAAAAAACCCAGTTTCTACTTCCCATTCTTTTCACTGTGATCAGGGCGACAGGAAAAGTCTCCTGGACAACACCAGCTCCCAGATCTGCCCTGGCACCCTTCTCACCCCCACCAGAGTCTGCCCCGTCAGTCCTCATGTCCCCCTCCTCATGATCCAGCCAGTCCAGTGCATTCCTCTCGTCACACCCCCTCAATCCCACTCCTCCCTCTCTGCAGGTTTCCCCCCGCCCCGAGGCTCTCCCAGCTGACCTCCCTGAAGACTCTGGTGAGCTGCTGGGAGCAGTCCCCGTGGCGCAGGCTCATGTCCAGGGTGTAGGTGCTGATGGCCACGCAGCCGCCGGGCCGCAGCACGCGCCGCGCCTCGCGCGCGAAGCGCTCGATGTCGAACCAGTGCGCGGCCGTGAACGAGGTCAGCACGTCCACGGAGGCCTCCGCGAACGGCAGCTCCTCCGCGGGGCACACCCTGCAGGGCACGGGGAAAAGCCACGGACGCGGAGTATGCAAGGATGTTTAGGATGCAAGACCACATATTCTGAAGTCTGGGGTAACGCTTGCTCACACCAGGGATTCCACCGAATGGAATCTTTGGTGCCAGTCATGCTCACAAACCCCCACCTCCGCGTGAGGACTGAATTCTGCCCCTGGCCCAGCATGCTGGCCTGGCACTCACAGGTAGGAGATGTTGGGCAGGCAGGGGGTGTCCTTGGCCTCCTGGATCTGCGCTTCGCTGATGTCCGTGCCCACCACCTTCTTGAAGTGCTCCCCAAGGAAGTGGGTGCCTTGTCCAGAGCCACAGCCAACATCCACCGCCAGCTCCGCAGGGATGGCCTTCTGCAGGGAGGGGTGGATGTCTCTCAGGGGGCAGCCACCCAATTCCTGTGTTTTCACCCCATTCCTTTCCCCAGCACCCGCTCAGGAACAGCCTTGGCGTGGCAGAACCTGTGGAAAGCCTCTTGTGTGCCCCCATCTGGCCATGAGCCCTGCCGCTTTATCTTTCCCCGAGGCACCAACCAAGGTGACACTCCCAGCAAGGCAAACACTGCCACCCACGATTAAACACCCCTTGGATTTTTTCCCCCACCCACAGTTAAATACTCCTTGGGTTTTTCCTCCAGCCTGGCCGTAGCCCGCTCACCTTTTCCCGCAGGTAGGAGAGGATGGTCTGCTGCAGCTCTTTGCCCGGTGCAAACCTGTATTTCTGGTAGACGGCCGCATGCCCCCTGCCCTCGAACATCTGGGTGGCCATGCTCGGCTGGCCTGGCACCTGGGGGAGGCAGCGAGCCGGGGCTGTCACAGGGACCGAGCTCCTGCCGCCTCCCAGCCCGGGCCCGCAGGCTCTGGAGCTCCGGCGGGGCCGCGGGGAGGACTTTGCCCGGGAGGCTCCAGCGAGGGAGCGTGGACCTGCTCTCCAGGAATCCCTCCCACAGCCCTGAGCTAACCACAGGAGCAAACAGCGGCGTCCACAGGAAAAGCTTTCCAGGTTTTTACACACCCGCGAGGAGGAGCGTGTAACCCCTGTGTTTTCCCCACCCACCCGGCTGTTTCCTCAAACCATTCACTGAGCCGTGAAGCAGGAAAACTACCAGTAAAACACGGCGGCTTTTACTAGCTGGTTTTGCCTTTAAAAAAAAAATAAAATAATTTTTTTTTTCTATTACCACACAACCACAACTCCACCTTGCGCTCTCCCACCCACCCGCTGCTTTTGGCCCCTCCCGTCCAGCAGCCACCCCAAGTGTCTGAGGGCGCTGAACCCCTCAGCGCGTGTGGAGGCCGGCCGGGCCCAGCTCAGCCCGGGGAGCCAGGGCAGCACCCGGGGGAGCCAGGGGCCGAGCCCCCAGGGAGGCAGCGGAGTTCGGGAGCGGGGCCCTTCGGCCGGGCCCAGCTCAGCCCGGGAGCCAGGGCAGCACCCGGGGGAGCCAGGGGCCGAGCCCCCCAGGGAGGCAGCGGAGCTCGGGGAGCCAGGGGCTGAGCCCCCGGGGAGGCAGCGGAGCTCTCGGGAGCCAGGGGCCGAACCCCCGGCACTCCCGGCCCCGCGCCCCCCGGTGCCCGCAGCCCCGAGGCGCCGCCCCGGAAGGACCGAGGGTTGCTCGGCCTCCACGCAGGAAGAGATGCTCCAGCAGCCAGGGCTGCAGCTCCCAGCGGGGACAGCAGCGCTGCCGAAGCAGGGATCTGCAGGGACCCTCCCGGTGCGCCCGGAGGAGCCTTCTCCCGGCAGCATTGCCGCTCCTTACCCGCAGCCCCGCGCCAGCCGCTCCCAGTCCGAGCTGTGGGCTGGAGGGAGGCGGGGGAAGGCGAGGCATGGCCCCGCACCGCCCCCGGTGCCGCCCGCACGGCGCTCCCCTGCCGAAATCCCGGAGGCGGCTTCTGGAGAATCCCACCGGGATTCTTGCCCTGTACTCGGCACTGGTGAGGAAACAAGAGGATACAGTCTCAAGCTGCGCCAAGGGAGATACAGGCTAGACTTAAGGAGGAAGTTTTTCACAGAAAGAGTGGTCAAATACTGGAATCATCTGCCCAGGGAGGTGGTGGAGTCACCATCCCTGGATGTGTTTAAAAAAAGACTGGATGTGGCACTTGGTGCCATGATCTAGTTGACGTGGTCATGTCCAACATGGGTTGGACTTGATGATCTTAAAGGTCTCTTCCAACCTAGAAATTCTGTGATCCTGGAGCCGCAGAGCTGAGCCTCAGCCTGTGGCTACTGATTACATAGTTACAGCTTTCAAAGTGCCCGCAGATCCTGGGAATGCTCAAGCAGCCTCCACATCTCAGGAAGCAGAGCTCAGAAGGTGGCAGAACAGGATTCAAATGCTGCAGGCAGCCACAGCCATACCCACAGAGCTCTGTCTGCGCTGGAGTCCCCTCCTGGTGTCCGGCAGAAAAATGCAGCAGGAGCCCCCAGGAGCAGCACTTGAAGAGCTTAGAATGTTGGGATTTCAGAGCTAGGCAGTTTGCCCTGACTCGGGGCAGGATTTTACCCCTTCCTCAGGAGAGTAATGTTAATTCCGTGCAGCTGAGGCCAGCGGAGCCGTGGTTTGCTGGAAGCACAGTCCCTTCAGTTTGTACTTTGCACGGCAGCCATGGATCCCTGCTGATTAGCACAGCCTTTAAGCCACTCCTAATTTTAGGAGAAACCAGTGAATTTACTCAAGGACTGAAGACAGAGGCTGGCTTGAAGCAGTTTGCTAAATCAAAGCATGGGTTGGAGTTCCTGGGCTTGTGTCCCAAATATTTGGGCCACCTGCTGCTTGATCATGCAGGGGTGGTACCTGCAGCAAGAGAAAACACCACACAATCACCAAAGGGCCCTGTGTTTTCACACCCTGGCTCTCTGGGGTTTGGGCACCCCATTTTGCCTGCATTTTGCTGAGAGCACACTGAAGACTTGTTCCCCAAACCTTCAGACCCTGGGGATTTTAATTCTATAGCAGGGTCCTGGATTAATAGACCTTCATTGGGAATGCATCTCACTCTGAAATTTATTAAAACTGAAAAATGAATCAATCTATTTTAGGGGAAAAAAAGGCCAAAGGACACTCCTGTCAGTCCTCCTGTGTCCAGTGGTATTTTTCACCAACAGATTTATCTGTGGATGGATTGCTTGGAGTTAAAGGAAGAGGAGGTAAATGGCACAAATTAATTTACAAATTTAATTTCAATTTTAATTGACTCAGAAGCTTTTTGCTGGACCACACAAGAGGAAGGATGCCCACAGGGCTGGGGTCCACCTCTAAAGGAATAGGAGGAGGTAAATGGCATCATTGCCCTGCTGCATTTAATTTACAAATTTACTTGTTTTAAATTTAATTTCAACTTTAATTGACTCAAAAGCTTTTTGCTGGACCACACAAGAGGAAGGATGCCCACAGGGCTGGGGTCCACCTCCCCATCCCCAGGATCCCCTGAAGAGGTCAGTGATATGTCTCCTACCTTGTGGAAAACTTGATTTGATTTTAAGATCCCAGTAAGGCTTCAGCTCTTGGGAGACTCTCCCCTGTTTATTTGTTCTCTGATGGAAAAGGAACAAGATTTATTCTCACAACAAGGAATAAAGGGATTGGAAAATAGTTGGTATTTCTTCAAGGATCTTTTCAAACCTAGAGGCTTCAGACTTTAAATTAGTGAAGAATATAATTCTCTTGTCTTAAAAACGGATAAAGTTCCTTGTAGGGAAGGGATTTATCCACAAACCAGAGATGTCACTGTTGATGTGTTAGAGCTGTGCCTCAAGACCTCAGCTGGCATCAGGGCTGTCCCTGCCTGCTCCCTGAAATCCAGGAAAAATCAGTGTTTGTGTCAAAAGAAAGCCCAGATGAACAAGAGACCGGAGAGGGGAGGGAGAAGGGACTTCCCACAGCAGTGACAATTTTAGGGAAGTGCAATTCCCAGATCCTTGCAATGGCAGCAGCAGTGGCTGGTGATTGCTGTGCTGCAGCACACAAAGGGCTGGAGGGGAAATGAAGGCAGCCAGGGACACGCTCAAGGGCAGAGGAGGAAGCCTGCAGAGGAGAGAGCCCTTGGCTTTGCAATCCTGCCTCGCCCCTCGGCTCATCCGGCCATAAATCCTTCCTGGAATGACTGGTGAGCAGCACTGGGGCTGGAGCAGGGGCTGAGAGCAAAGCCCAGCCCTGGGGGCTTCCAGAAACAATAGCAGCAAGTCCTTCTCCCACCTTTTCACTAAGGAAGCTGGGAAATCTGGTTGTGGAGCCAGTGCATTAAATGAAATTTAGAAGCCACCTGAGAATCTGTGGCTGAACAACCTGAGATCTCCCATTCCCCACGCAGGGGCCGGATCTGCTGATGAATTAACAATTCTGGGATAAAAGGAGGGAGAGAAATGTGAGCTCGAAATGATCTTATTTCACCTTTCCTTGCATGCACTCTCTGGGCATGAGGATGTAGTAGCTGATATTATTATATCTGCTGGCACAAGCAAAAAGTCCAGCTGCATCAGGAAGCTGCTGTACTAAAATTAAATAACTCTTGGAGATGTGCACGGCCAAACCAGACTCAGAGCAATTGCTCTGGGTCTGGCTGATGCCTTCTGAAATTGCAAACAAATTTGTGGCAATTAAACAAGATCCCAAGACCATCTTAATTCAGAGTTTCAGCTTTTTCTTCTTGGGGTCCCAGCCAGGCATGTGATGCAATGTGAGACAGTGAAAGGAATGAGAAGGAAGTGTCTTTACAAACTGTGGGCCTGATGGTAGCTAAGGCCAGACAGGGAGAGGTGAAAGAAGCAGTGGGGGAACCATAAATTCCATAGGAATTTTACTAATTGACACAGAATGTTGCTCACTCAAGACTGTGCTGAATCTCTGGATTTAGGAAAAAAGAAGAGAGAGACAAAGAAAAGTGGGGTATACATTAGAAGGGGCCTAAGGTATCAGGCATTTCAGGAAGTCTCTATAATTGACACAGACTGTTGCTCACTCAAGACTGTGCTGAATCTCTGGATTTAGGAAAAAAGAAGAGAGAGACAAAGAAAAGTGGGGTATACATTAAAAGGGGCCTTAGGTATCAGGCATTTCAGGAAGTCTCTACCTCTCAAATACCTCAGCTAATGGGGAAAGAGGGAAATGTGGCTGGGAAATTAGGATAAAAAGGAGGCTGTGTGCTCCAAAAATTGGAGAGACCCCAGGGGAATGCACTATGGCCTCTCCCTTTATTTGAATTAAGTCACAGGACTCCTCTGTCTTCTTTTTGGACAGAAACATCTGGTGTTTGTGGATTTATTTTTTTGACAATAGGGAGAAAATAAAAAGGAGAAGGCAGCAATATTTTAGGCTCTTCTTCCTCAAAAGCCCCTGCACCAGGAGACAGCTGAGTCCTTCCCCCCTGCCCATTTCCCACTGCAGCTCCCAGGATCACAGCCCTGTGTCCCAAAAGCCAGGTGGGAACAGGCCTGGAAGTGCAGTGGTGCAGAGGGTGGGAAAAGGGCAATTTTTTGGTTCTGGCCGTGCTGTGATGGCCAGTGATGGTCTGTCCCAGTGGGGGCACGAGGGCTGGAGGCTGCAAATACACCATGGCATGGAGGAGGGTGCAGGAGGGCACAGAAGGGTGCGAGAATTGCGGCAGGCTGTGGAAGGGTGTGAGAGGATGCAGGACGTGCAGGAGGGCACAGAAGGGTGCGAGAATTGCGGCAGGCTGTGGAAGGGTGTGAGAGGGTGCAGGAGGATGTGGTGGGATGGAGGAGGGCAGGTGAGGATGCGAAAGGGCAGGGAAAGCTGCTGCAGAGGACAAGAGGGTGCAGGAGGGCTTGGAAGGGTGCAGAGGGGCGCTTCAGGATCCGGGAGAGTGCAGAGCAAAGCAGGAGGATGATGCAGGAGGAAGACGCTGGAGGGTGGTTCAAGGAGGATGCAGAAGGACGCGGCAGCTCCGTCCCTGAGCTGCCGCTCCGGCGGGGCCGTGCCGGGCGGGGCAGGGCAGGGCAGGACCGAGCCGGGCGGGGCCGTGCCGTGCCGGGCGGGGTTGTACCGTGCCGGGCGTGCCCGGCTCTCCGGCGGCGCCGATGGGGCTGCGGGCCTGGCTGCGATCGCTCGGCTGCTGCGGCTGCTGCGGCGGGGAGGCGGCGGCGCCCGAGAAGGAGCCCCTGCTCAGGTGAGACCCGGCCCGGAGCCTTGTCCCCTGTCCCCTGCCCGCTCCCCGCGCTGTCAGCCCCGCTGGAGCTCCGGGCATCCATCCCCTGCCAGGGCGCTCCCGGCTCCGGAGGGACCTTCCCCGGCTGCCCGCTCTCTCTCCGCCCGGCTGGGCTCCTCCTGACAGCCGGCATCCCCTCGGGGCTCCCCGGCCGCAGGGACGGTCCTGCGCTCGTCTTTGCACGGTGGGATTTCAGGGGAGCTGAGGCGCTGAACAAAAAGGGGGCCCTGCATCCCTGAGCAGGGCAGGTCTCGCTGCCGGCAGCTCTGGGTTGTGCAAGCTCCGTTCGCAGGCTGGACTCACAGAATCCCAAAATCGACTGGGATGGAAGGGGCATTAAAGCTCATCCAGTTCCATCCCCTGCCATGGGCAGGGGCTCACAGAGTCCCAGAACGGACTGGGATGGAAGGGGAATTAAAGCATCCAGTTCCACCCCCTGCCATGGACAGGGACTTTCCACTATCCCAAGTTGCTCCAAGCCCTGTCCAACCTGGCCTGGAGCACTTCCAGGGATGGGGCAGCCTCAGCTTCTCTGGGCAACCTGTGCCAGACCCCCACCACCTTCACAGGGGAGAATTCCTTCCTAACACCTAATCTAAATCTCTCCTCGTTTCCTTTAAGACCGCTCCCCCTTGTCCTGTCACTACCTGCCCCGGTAGAAAGTCGGTCTCCCTGGAGCCTTGGCTTTTCCAGGCGAGCACCCGCAGCTCTCCAGCCCGGCTCCATTCAGGAGATGACATTACTACAGCAGATGACGGTGCTCAGCCGGAGCCGGCTCTAACGGGGAGCTGCGTGTGCTGATCCCTGCGGAGCAGATCCTGCTCTCCTGCTCTGTCGCTTTGTGCACAGAGCGTGGGGCTGGGGCTGTTGTACGGACAGATTCTCCCTGACCCGTGCAGAAGAGCTGTGCAAGCACTTAGAGAGGCTTTAAACACCGGTGTTTCGCGGCGGCTCTCCCCCTTTCCCCCATGCCAGCCGCAGAGCGTGTCCCAGCCCCGGGATGGAGCCGGGACCGTGTCCTCCTTCGGGCAGGAGGGTGGGATGCTCCCTGCCTCGGTGTCGGGTACCAGCACAGCCGGGCACACCCGGCTCCAAACGCCCTGATTTCGCGCTGGTAAAGCAGTTACCTCAGTAATGACCGGCTAATCCCAAGCATGGGGCCCAGGAAATTGGCATTAACCTCCCGGGAGCCGGGCACACGTGCGGAGAGGCTCCCGCTGCTGCCCCGTGGCCGCGGTGGCTGTGCCTCACCTGGCACCTGACATCGGGAACAGGCTGGCCATCCAGCTAATGCTGGCCCCAAGGAGGAAAGCCTCTGTAAATTCTGGAAGTTGGGAAGGCACCTGCTCTTATACATGTGTGCCAGCGTAATTAATCTAACAGCCTAATTGCTGTCCCTAACAGCATAATGCTTGCCCCTTCTTGGGGGGCTGTGGGGTCTCATTTCAATAGCTTGCTGGGTTTATTTTTACTGCAGTGCTGTTGAAAGTGAATGAATTGCTTGAGGTTTCAGCTCTTTTAGCCGAGTTTTAGGTTTGGGAGCTGCTGTTGTAAAGCATCCAGGCTGCTTGGTTCTCCCTTGATGTGTGAAGGTGTGATCATGGCTTGGATGGTGCTCTCAGGACGAAAATCAACCAAACATTTGGGCTCCAAATGCCAAAATTTAATGTGAACTGAAAGCCCCCTGGAGCAGCAATCTGATGATGAAGCATTGGAGCTCACCATCTTCTGGATAAAATCCACAGTGTGGAATGCTCCCTGTCCCTTCTGGTCCCACTCCTTAACCTGCAAAGCCACTGCTGTTCACGTGCTTCCTTTCTCCCTCCCATTTTTTCCTTTGCAGTGCTGCTTGGAAGAGCTGCTGGCAGAGCTCTCCGTGCTGGTAGGGATTTGCTGACTCCTGGGCACTGCCACATGCCTTACAGGATGCTCCGTGCTGTGATTTGGAAATGGGAATGTGCTGGGAATGCCCTTGGAGCTGTGAGGGAGGGAGTGGCTTAGAAAAGCTCAGGTGTGGCGGTGTTATTGCTAAATGCTGGTGTTTTAAGTAATTCAAATGTTCAGCATATTTACTGGGGTAAGTGCCTGAGTGGGAAGAAGCTGTGGAAGGCAGGGTGGGAGTGAGCTCCTGCTGATGGCACAGCTGGCTCCTCAGGGCTCCCTCCCTGTCTGCTCCAGAAGAGGAATGGCTGTGCCCCTCCACACCCTCCAAGTCACCTTTGTTTGCTTGTCTTTAATGAGAGATTATAAGAGATTATCTTTCCCTTTATTACCTGTTGCTCAGGTTTTTGGTTTGTTGAAAGTCTAATTAACCTTCCTGCTGGAATGCTGATGGGAATTAGGTTTTTTCTATTTCAGCTATGTGCTGGAGCTCCTCTTAGCCTCTTTTTATGGCTTGGTGCCATGGTACCCACAGTGTTACCTGTGGGATGAGTTCCTTGGGAAAGGAATGGGGTTTGGGTAGCAAACAAAATAAACAGTGGGTTGTTCTGACAAGAAGTGAGCAGGGATTGCCAGAGGGTGATAAGGCCAAAAATAGTTCTCCCTGTGTATTGTTCTGCTGAAGCAGCTGGACGTCTTGCTTAGACACTTTATGGAAATCCCCTGTTAAAAGTTCTCTTGGCAGAAGTGTCCTTGTTAGAAAATTACACATCCAAATAATAACATGAATCCATAAAACACAGAACTGCCCTGGTGCAGAGAAAAGCTCCCCCACCTCCATGGGGACAGCCTTCCCAGAAGATGGTGCTCAGCTTTGCTAAGCAAATAAAGCCTGGAGTTCATGAGAAGGCTGAGGACATTCCCCTTGCCAAAACAAGATGGGGCTGAATATCCTTTCCATGCCCTGTGTGTTGTTGCCCAGCTCAGCTCATCACTGCAGCTCTGAGGCAGGAGCTGCTGGGTGGGGGGATCTGGTTTGGTTTGAACCATGGCTTTCCTGCTCAGGATGTCTGCTAAGGGAAAAACCTCTGTCCCGCCATTCCCCCTGCTCCTTTCCCTCCTCTCTGGGAGAGGGCAGGGCACAGCAGTGGGCACTGGGAGGGCAGCGGGTGCTGAGCTGCCTGCCCCTGTGTCCTGCAGTAACAACAACCCCTACGCGTCCTTCGGGGCCACGCTGGCGCGGGATGAGGAGCAGAACCTGTGGAGCACCCCCCACGACGTGACCCACACCGAGGCCGACGACGACCGCGTGCTCTACAACATGATCGTGGTCAGGAACCAGCTGGACAAGGACTCGGAGGTGAGGCTGGGCTGGCTGTGGTGAATCACGGAGTCACAGGAGGCTTTGGGGTGGAAGGGACCTTAAAGCTCACCCAGTCCCCCCCTGCTGTGGGCAGGGACACCTTCCACTATTGTATTTGCTGGGAATGTCCTGGCAAAGGCAGGAATGATGAATGTGACTCCATGTTCTCAGAAGGCTAATTTATTACCTCATAATACTATGTTATATTAAAGAATACTATACTAACTATACTAAAGAATACAGAAAGGATACCCAGTGCTAAAAAGATAATAATGAAAACTCATGACTCTCAACACAGCTTGGCCCTGATTGGCCAAAGAGTTAAAACCACTCACAGCAGAATCCAATGAAACAATCACCTGTGGGTGAACAATCTCCAAACACATTCCACACAGGAGAAGCAAATGAGATGAGAATTGTTTTCCTTTTCTCTGAGGCTGCTCAGCTTCCCAGGGGAAAAATCCTGGTTGAAGGGATTTTTTCAGACAATGTGAATGCTACAATCTACTATCCCAGGTTCCTCCAAGCCCTGTCCAACCTGGCCTTGGACGCACAGTGTGAATGCTATCTTCCACTAACTCAGGTTACTCCAAGCCCTGTCCAACCTGGCCTTGGACGCTTCCAGGGGTGTGGCAGCCACAGCTTCTCTGGGCAACCTGTCCCCACCACCTTCCCTCACCACCTTCCCTCACCACCCTCTCAAAAAGGATATTTTTCCTAATATCCTGTCTAAACTCTGTCAGTTTGAAGCCATTCCCCCTTGTGCTGTCATTCCAGGCTTTGCAAATAGTTTTGCCCCATCTTTCCTGTAGGATTCCCTTCAGGCACTGGAAGGCCACAGTTAGGTCACCCTGTCTTCTCTTCTCCAGGCTGAGCAATCCCAGTTCTCTCAGCCTTTCCTCACAGCAGAGCTGCTCTGATCACCTTGGTGGGCTCCTCTGGACTGACACCAGCAGGTCAATGCCCTTCCTTAAGCTGCTGTGGAGACCCCAGAGTCCCTCAGTGTGGCTCATGTAGGCACCAGCTCCTCCCACCTGTTCCATCACCCTCCAGATTTTATCCTGCATCTGGTGTGGATGTCTCTGTGGCCATCTCATCCTGGGAAGCTCGGGGGTATCTCCAGCACCTGATCCAGGAGGAGCTGCCCTGAGGTGTGGTGTGTTTCTCACCTCCATGGTACCCTTGGGCTCATTTCCCTCTGTGGTGAGATTCTCCATGTTCTCCTTGGCTTGGATACTTTCAGTGCCCTCCCACGACATTATCCCATTGAGCATAAACTGCCTCCAGAATATTTTCTCCCCTCACTCCCCATCCCCTTTGGAAATCTCCATTTCTGTACATCTTTGGTCAGCCCAAAGCAAAGGTTATGGACTTCCCATGGAGGAGTGAGGGAACACAGCAGCTGACACTAAAAACCAAGGAAGTCAGGAGGTCACTAATGAGCTGCCTACATGCAGGGATGTGGGAAAAGACACGAGCTAGGCTTGAGCTGGACACCAGGCACAAACAGACTTCTCAGGCAAGGAAACTGAGAGGAGGACTAGAAGAGACAGAGAAGGGAAAAGAAAGTGACAGGGAATGGGAAGAACATGAAGATGCTTTACGGTGGCTGGGAAGCATTTGTTTCTCACATACCAGGAAGCAGGGAGATTCCAGGGAGGTTCCCCTGGAATTCATGGGGATGCCCTGCACCCACCAAGGTGTGCTGGGTGCTCTGGGGCCCAGCCCCATTTCCTGCCTCCCCAGCCCACGGGTTTGGTTGGTGGTTTATTTCCCTGGTGGTTTATTTTCCTGGTGGTTTATTTCCCTGGTTGTTTATTTCCCCGGTTTGTCCTTCCCATGGCCGGCCCTGGCGGTGCCCGGCTGTGTCAGGCTCACTCCTGCTCCAGTGGGATGCACGGCAATTATTGGGAAGCAGGGAACTGGCAGGGCTCTAGTGGGAAGGGAAGAATCACGGCTGTTACATAAAGGCTGTTCTGCAGCCCTGATTTCCTTTGCTAAGGCACTTCAGTGCAAAGGAGATTGCAGTGGCCTGATTAGGAGCAGGCTGTAGCAAACAGTGACACATTTTCCCCTCTCTGATTGCTTTCATGATGACAGAATGTTTGCAGGGAAGCCTGGAGGCTTCGTGTTTAACTTCAACATGATGCTGCCTCATCCAAAGTCTGCAGGAGTGTAACTGTTTCTCCTGTGATAGTTTCTGTAAACCAAAAGCCAGCTCGGCTTTACAAGGAGCCTTAAACTCCAGAGAAATCAAAATTACAAGTTGTAATTAGCTAGAAGAGGTAATGGAATGGTTATATACCGTTGGCCAGAACCCCCATTTGATGGGGTTGTTTTCTGGTGAGTGTGATTTAATCATTGTGTTTACAGTGGATGGTTTTGTAACAACATTTTCATGGTGGCATGTGACCTTTACAGCTCAAACTGGAGATCTCCTCCCTCCCCACTGCTGCTCTCCCTACCTTGAGTTGTTTGTCTGAGAGAAGCCAGGAGCTTCCTTCATCCCAAAGGCTGAAGGAAGCAAGGACAGCTCCATTTAGGGGGACACAGCAGTGTTGTGTGTCACCCTGCTTCAGGGGGCAGGGAAGAGGATCAGTGATGGCTGAGCAGGAATGTGCTCCTGCCCCTGCATGTCCTAAACCCACTGTGCCTGCCTGCCTGCCCTAAATCCTGCCCTAAATCTTGCCCTCTGAGGATCTGTGGGGTTTTTAGCAGCTCTGAGCAGTACCCGTGCCCAAAAAGGAAAAGGAAAGCCCAAAACTCACAGGAGCTCCTCTCCATAGCAAAGGCAGGATCACATACTCTGCTTTTCCGTGCAGGGCAATCAGTAAAAGGCCTGGGGAGCACAACATCAGGAGAAAGCTTTGAGGAAAGCCAACACGCTTTACCCTTGCTTTGAGTGTGGCCCCGTGCCCTTCAGAGCCCAGGACTGGCAGCAGCTCTGCTGTCCCCTCCTACAGCTGGGAAACTGAGGCACAGGGAAGCCCGGCAGGCTGCTGCAGTTTCCAGTTGCTGGGTGGCAGGACAGGGAGGGGCTTGGACAGCAAAGGCAGCATTCCTGCACTTGGCCCCTGGTTCCAAAATCTCTCCTTACTCCAGCAAGCATTTTAAAACTAGGCCAGATTGCAGTGCCCTCCCCTCCTAATGAGACTTCAGCTCAGAGAGAGAGAGAAAAAAGTCTAATTGTAGAACAACACTGGGCTGCAAAGGCCATCATCTGCTTGGGGGGCTGCTCTGCTCCCAAAATCCCCAGGGAGAGCCTGTGGATACTGCAGGGCTGAGCATGGAGGAACAGTTTCTTTGTGCAGTGCACGAGTGTTACAAAACCATAGGTGCTTCCTGTGGTTAAAACTGACTGAAAGGAGAACTTGCTGCATTTCTGCTCCTTCATTTAACAAAGAAATTCTGGCCTGCAGTGCACTCACGGTGTGCTTTGCCATTCCCCACCTGTATCCCAGGGATTCCCCAGCTCAGGCCTTTGGAAGGATTCCAAAGAGCAGGTTGCTGTCCATCGTGTGTTCCTGATCTGCATGCCCCATCTTGGCAGTGTTGGTGCCCTCCTTTGGGGTCAGTTCTGTGCCCCCACACCTGATCCATGTGGAGCTCCTCCTGTCCCTGCTGGCAGCTCTGCTCTGGGAAATTTGGCAGCTCCATCCCAAACTCAGTGTGTCCTTAGCTTGCACAGAGCAAAGCAGGAAAGCCATTGCTGAGGGGCTGGTCAAGCAGATGCAGCTTTTGAAGATCAGAGCTGTCACCACAGCTAGGATCATGTTTCAAATATGGGAAAAATGGGAGTTTTTTCCCCTAGTCTGGCTCTGCAGGCTCACTGAGCCTGTTGTAAGGTAAAATAAATGTGAGATCTGGTGGTGAAATGAGCAGCAAGGGCTGCACTGGGGCTGTTGCTGGGCCAGTGAGTGGGTGAGGTGCAGAGTCCCCTCCACGAGGTCCCCTCTGGAGTGGCCCTGGTTTCTCCATGGCCTCTGCTGGGGTGTGTGGAGTTACCCAGGCGTGGGCAGGGAGCTGTGCACCAGTCCTGGCTTCAGAGAAGGAGCCAGGGCAGCTGTGCCACAGCTCTGGGAACAGAAACTAAAGGTGGCATTTTGCATGGTGACTGAGGAAAACCCCCTGTTCTCAAGGCTTGCTGCAAATGCAGTGTTTTCTCTTCTCTTGGCTTATTCCCTAGGGAAAGGTGAGATCATAAACCCCCTAGAAAAGGCAATTCCTCAGCCTGCATCCCTGCCAGGGGCCTGGCTGGCACAGCAACACTGGCATGATCCCCCTGAAAAGCCCATTAATGAGCTGGCAAGGCCTATTTTTCTTTCTCCTCCTGCTCTCCTACAGGATTATTCTTTTCTAAACAGGTCACAGAGAAGGTCAGAATTGTGACCAGCTGTTACTGGGGCACAGAGGGGTGATGGGATTTATCCAGGGCTGGGGAGCCCAAACCCAACCCTCTTAATGTCTGTCTGCGTGCCTCTCTTAAATTGAATCCAATTTAAGCTTCTTCTGAGATGTCAGGCTGTAGTTTATATTTGTTCAGCTCCTTCCAGTGGAGCCAGAGCAGGAGCATCCCTGGTACCTGCCTGCACTGATACTCTGCAGCCTGTTTTGACCTCATTTCTGAAATAACTCTTGAACAGAATGGTGACCTCAATTGCTTTTAAGAGAATAAAGGCAATGGATTTGGTAGAGGATTGTTCTGGCAAGATGAAGAAAGCTCCCTAGTAATTAGGAAACTTTCATATGATCAGGGATGAGAAGCTGGACAGTGTTGCCTGTTCTCTTGGCACATTTTTTTTCCCAGAGCTCTGAGTTACGTACCAGCCTGGCTTATTCCATGTCATTTGGCATTTGCAGCTTTAGTGTTTCACACTGGAGAGTCTGGGGAGGTTTTCCAGATAAATATTTGAAGGGCTGAGCACGTAGAGAAGGGAGGCAGCGGGGTTTCCCTGCTGCTCCTGGGATATTCTTGACTCACACACTCAGGGTTTTCTCAAGCCCCCACTGGTATCTGTGGTGCCCTGCTCTTTAGGTTTAAAGGGCAAAACTGGCTGCAAAAACCAGGGCTGGGAACTGCAACCTGCTTTGGTTTCCTGTGGTTAACTCAGATTTTGGCAAAAGAGTCCATTTCTTCAAGGACCACTTTTTAGTGCGTGGCTGGGATGTCCCAGAAACAGCCCACGTTTGTGTGTCAGTCTCCCCCTGTGCTTCCAAGCCTCCTCCCTGGCCCAGGAGTTTATCTGACTTCCCCAGAAGGAGGAGAGGGGTTTGCTGTGGAGCTGCCTGCCCTGCCCTGCCCCTGGGGACTCACGGGATCCCTCCCCAGAGCCTCTGATCTTGCCCTTGCCTGTGCACGGGCAGGGCAGGCTTTGCTCTTCCTCTGCTGTGCAGCTCAAGGGAGATGCTTTTTAGAATAATTTTGGGTGTGGCGAGATGCTCTTGAGTTTATGCCCTCATTAAAGGCACACAGAGCACAGCCCATGGCAGCTCAGATGTCTCTGCTGGAAGGAGTTGCCTGGGAAGATCCAGTGGTTTCTGAGACTGATAGAGAGCAGGGCATGAGTCCCTTTGACAGCTCAGCCCAATCTCATCCTCATCATCTCTGCTGCTCTGGGTCTTTTTCCATGGCTGGGAGCATCCTCCTCCCAGCTTTCTCTACAGAAATATAAACAGATGCAGCTTCATGCTCAGGCAAAATAAATCCCTCCAGAACAAGAGGTCCCACCCAGGCACCACAGTTAAACATCATTTTGTGTACCAAAATAATTCCTTTGCACACTCCCCAAACTCTCCATCAACAGGGCACTGTCAGAGCTCCCCTGGGACTGAACATTCACCATATTCACTTCCATAACACAGCTCAGACACTGTGATGTACAAGAAAACCATAACCTAGATTCCCTTAAAACAAAAATAGACAAGGGAAAACACGCTGCTGTTAATCCAGGGAAAATCAGGAGCATGCTAAGCACTGCTCTCCTTGCTTAGAGAGGAGTCTGGCTCCTATCACAGGGTAAATCCCCACGGCCCTGAAAGCTGCTGCTGGGTGCCAGGAGGCCACATTTTGTGGAGAGGAGCATCTTTCCCAGTGCCCCAGCTCCCTAATTCCACAGCGTGAAGCAGGCCTGGGATCACAGTGGCTGTCTGGAGGGATTGTCTGCACTGGAGGCCTTGTTTGTCTCCGTGGGAGGGCACAGACACCCAGCTATTCCCCACCAGCATGCCCAGACTGGCTCCCTCTCCTTTCTGCCTGTGCCAGGGGGTCACGAGAGGCCGAGGCGTTTCCAAGGAGCCCCTGCCAGCAGGGACCAAGGCATCATGCAGCTTTTCAGCCTCTTTCTAAAAACTCGCCAGTGTTCAATAAACTTCCCACAAAGCTTTAACATAATAGCCCCCCTCTTTTCTTTTCCACCCAGAGGAGCTCATTTCCCAGCTCTGAGCTGGGAGAGGAGAGGGAGTCTTGCCCCTGCCTCATTCTTCTGGTGAAGGGCTGTCCTGGTGCCTTTGCTGGCAGCCAGGTGCTCTCCTGTGCAAACAGCAAAGCTGCTCTCAAGTGCCACTCCAGGAGAGAGGGAAATGTGCCTCTGGAAGGGGATTTTGTTTTCTGGGAGTGAGAGGCTGTGGCAGAGCTGGTTCCCCTGCTCTCCTGACCTGAAGTCAATGCCTTAACCCCACCAGCTGCTTTTTCCAAAGTGTAATCTCCCAGGGCTTCCTGCAGCTAGTGCTGATCAGCAGGAAGACAGGCTTGGCTTTAAACCTCTGCTGTCGTGGCATGTCAGCCACATTCAGGGAGAAAACACTAAGGGATCTTCCAATCTTTATGGAATCAAGGCAGCTCTTTGACCAGGTACCTGAAAACAGTGGGATTTCTAACCCACCTCTGTGGGTGTTGTTTTCCTGCTCTGAACCCAGCATGGCCTGTAGGAAAATCTCAGGGTGACAGCACAGATTAACACCTGTTTATTCTTCAGGAGCCCATCTAGGTAATCCCCTGCTGAGAAATGAGATTAATTAAGGTTGTTACTGGGAGGAAGTTATCAGGTGATGTTATGACCCTGCTGCTGGGCTGCTTCTAAAAATGCACCCTTTGCAGTGTGTGCATTGGTTAAATTCAGCTAGGAAGAGCTGGGAAAAGTGCTTCTAGTTTTGTTGCAGAACACATGCATTTCCACAGGAATGCATGCTTATGGAATCATGGAATCATTCATGTTGGAAAAGTCATCTAAGATCGTTGAGTCCAGCACTGCCAAGCGCACCATGAAACTTGTGTGGTTTAAATGTTTAAATGTGCTGGTGTGACTTTAGTAAATGACCCCAAACCCTTCCCTCTTGCCCAGTGTCCCATTATTCAGCTCTAACTAGTTTTCTTGCAGAACACATGCATTTCCACAGCAATGCATGCTTATGGATTCATGGAATCATTTAGGGTGGAAAAGTCATCTGAGATCGTCGAGTCCAGCCATTATCCCAGCACTGCCAAGCGCACCATGAAAATTGTGTGGTTTAAATGTGCTGGTGTGACTTTAGTAAATGACCCCAAACCCTTCCCTCTTGCCCAGTGTCCCATTATTCAGCTCTAAAGCTGTAGGTCCAGTGCAGTATTTCAGCTGTGCAGTGAAGTGAGGCATTAACTGCAGCACCTGGCAGCCACTAAGGGTGATCATATCCGATGGCTCCAGTTCAGCCCTCATCCATCTGTGGGCACCTCTTGCAAAAGAGGCTACCCTGATCTTTAAAAAGAGTCTGGTTTTCCTGTTTTCTAGTACTTTTGAACACCTGCCTGCTCCAGTTCATGCCAAACAGGGCTCCCTGTCTGGCTGAGGAGCAGTTGTCAGCAATACCTGAGCTAAATTCTGTCATTTCAGGGAAGCTGGAAGGAGTTTGGAACAGAGAAGACACAGAAATGCTGAGCCACGTGTCAAGCTAAATATTCTGTGCTGGTCAGTGTAATTTCTTCCAGGGGCAGCAGCAGCCTGGTCATTTCCCTTCACAGCCAGCACCTCCTAGCTCAGTGCCTACAGCAACTCTGCACCTCTGGCTCCCTTCCTCAGAGCTGAAATTCCTTGGAAAGCAGCAAATTCCAGTGACTGTCTCTCATCCCTTTGCTTTGCAGGAGTGGCAGAAGCTCAACTATGACATTTATACTTTACGGCAGACCCGGAAAGAAGTGAGGAGCAGGTGGAAACACATTTTGGAGGATTTAGGTAAGCTGGAGGCCAAAGGGATGTAATTCTAGTGGTACTGCATGCCAGATCCCACCATGGCTTAGGACGGGAACAGCTCCACAAATCAAGCTGGAGAGGAGGGAAGTAAAAGGAGGTTGCTGAGGGATGCCCACAGGTGTCCCACATGGTACCTGGGGCTCCTCAGGGCTCAGGCAGGGTGGGGAGGGGACAGGGACACTGTGTCTGCAGGCATGTCAAAAGCCCATGAGCCACGATCACCTTCCAAGCCCATAACAACTTGCACAGTCATCCATTTCAAGCTTCCCCGTGGAAACCTTGCAGTGGGAGTTCACCCTGGGTTTTTCCAAACAAGATCAGCAGGAAGGAATGAATATTCCTTTCAGATGGGAACACAGATACATCTATTTCGTTTTCTTAGCCAATGGCAGCTGATCAGAGCTAAGCCACTCACCTCGTTTGCTGCCAAGTGGGTTTGAAATGTTCTTTCACCAAGTGGAATTGCTCCACAGGAACCCTCCTGCTGCTGTTTCCCAGTGGTGGGGGTGGGTGTGGCAGGCTTGTCCCAGCTGCCTGGCACACAGCATGTGACACTCGGGATGTGCCAGCACATCAGCTGGGTGACTTCCATCATGCTCTGGAGGTGGGTGGTGGCTGATGAGAGGAGGATGAGTGAATCTATTCTAGGATACCCTCAATGGGAGCCAGAGATGGCTATCTCAGCCACTCCTGCCCTACCTGCTGTTCTGGCATTTGGGTGGGAGGAACATCATAAATCCATACCCAGGTGTCAACCCTCATCTCCACCCAGGTGCTCACAGCAGGCCAAGCTTGGGAGGGATCACTTGGCATCCTTCCATCTCTCACTGCAGGCTGACAGAGCCTCTCCCACATCCTTCTCACATCCACAGTGGCGCTGGAGATGTTCTGCAAAGGCTGAGGAAGCTCAAGGCCAGGGATCACTTGGCCTTAGTGAAGCTAAATGAGCAACCAGATGTGAAACCTGCTGTCTTCTGTTTTCTAGGCCCCTGCTTTAACCATAGGCCCACCACTCTTACCCCATAACTGTTTTCATGTGAGATGCATCACCCCCAGCCCTCTGGAGCTGAACAAAGAGTTAATGGGAGCCACTGCATTTAAAGATCCCTGCACTCACTCTCCTCCACCTTTCCTCCCCTGGATACCTTCCTGTAATTGATGCTGACTGCTACAGGCACAATTAGCCTGGTGTTCATCACTGCCACAGGTTTTATCCCTGTTACCTGATTTAGGGAGCCCCAGCAGCCCTGAAAGCTCTGGTAGCATCAGGAGCATGGAAGAGCTGCATCAGCACCCTGGGTTGTGCATGTTCACACACCTTTTCTCAGGAAAAACAGCAACAAACTCACTGTGACTACTTTTGTGATTTATTTTCCCCACCAGGGAGTTTATACCTGTCCCACAGCCTACCTGAGGGAGGGCTGGTTTGTTTTAGGAAGTAGGGATGCAGCTGCCCAGCGTGGAGGGGGAATAAGGAACCTTCCAAGAGCCTGAAGGGCTCAGGGATGACCCTGCTCTCATATTTGACTTGCTTCTGTAACATCTCTTGCCCAGGTTTCCAGAAGGAAGCAGATTCCCTCTTGTCAGTGACCAAACTCAGCATCATCAGCGACTCTCAGAACATGAGCAAAGCCAGGGACATCTTGTTGAAGCTCTCAGAAGAGACCAACATCTTCCCCACCAGCTGGGAACTTTCTGAGCGCTACCTCTTCGTGGTGGTGAGTTCTCTGAGCACACCTTCCCCCATCCAACTCTGCAGGGAGCTCCTGTGAGGGGGAAGAGAGCAGGTGAGCCAGAAGGTGCTCAGATACGTGGTGGCATCTGGGATGATCCCCTCAGATGTTGTGCTTGGAGCTTGGGGTTCAATTTCCTTGGAAATGCCAGTGCTGCAGCACCATGAATTCCACACCCCTCTGCAAGTTCCTTGCAACTGGATGCTCCTGCATCCTGTGCACGAGGTGGGAAAAGGATGTCGAGATGCTTGAATGCATCCAGAGGAGGCAACGAAGCTGCTGAGGGGTCTGGAGCACAAGCCCTGTAAGGAATGACTGAGGGAGCTGGGGGTGTTTAGCCTGGAGAAAAGGAGTCTCAGAGGTGACCTTATCAGTCTGGACAATTTCCTAAAAGGTGGTTGTAGCGAGGTGGGCTTGGTCTCTTTCTCCAGGCAGCAACTGACTGAACAAGAGGACACAGTCTCAAGCTGCACCAAGGCAAATATAGGTTAGATATTAGGAAAAAGTTTTTTACAGAAAGGGTGATAAATTTCTGGAATGGCTGCCCGGGGAGGTGGTGCAGTCACCATCCCTGGGTGTGTTTAACAAAGCCTGGATGTGGCTCTGGGTGCCAGGGTTGAGTTGAGCTGTTGGGGCTGGGTTGGACTCCATGATCTTGAAGGTCTCTTCCAACCTGGTGTTTCTGTGAAAAGATGAGGCCTGATGCCTGAGAGCAGCTGTGGAGGGAGGGCCATGCCTGGAACCCCCCGCAGTGACCGCCATCCCCTCGTTTGGCAGGACCGCCTCATCGCCCTGGACGCTGCTGACGAGTTCTTCAGGATGGCCAGCGCGGTGTACCCCAAGCGGAGCGTCCCCGCCGTGCCCTGAGGGACGTGCCTCGGCGTGTGACACAGCTGGCACTCCCAGACGGGCTGCTGTGCCCGGGGACAGCAGGGGAGTGCCCTCCTGGTGGCCCTGTGGAGAAGCGAGTGGGTGCAGCAGGGCGAGCTGTGCCCGCGGAAAGGGACCCAGGGGCACCACGAGTGACAAGTGCCCCAGAGCAGCCCTGGTGGGACAGCACTGGCCAGCAGTGGATGCTGGAGGCACGGGGAGGATCTGCCATGTGAGGCGTTGCTGCCAGGAGCTGCAGGTGCCTCTGGTGCCAAGGGCTGTGAGGAAATCCACCTTTCCACCTGGCTGGTACCTGCCACTGTCCCCTCCCAGCGAGACAGGAAAAGCACCTCTGTGTCTGCAGCTCCATGACTCTGTGCACTGGTCCTCCTCCTCACCCCGGCCCCCCAGGGGATTTGGGAAAGAGGCAGGAGCTGTGCCAGGACAGGATTTAGTTCCAAGCAGCAAAACCTTGGAGCAGTGTCACGGTTGGGTGCTCCATCCCCAGCCATTAGTGGCTGAGGGATGTCTTTGTCGGGGTGCTCAGCTTGACATCTTAAAAGAAGGTAGAGTTTAGGAAGGTGCCAGCCAAGTTCAGAGCTGCTGAGAATTTGGCTCCTGGAACATTGGTTGCCCAGCATCTCAACCTATTTTGAAAAGTTTTGGTCTTAATTGCCTAAAAACCCTCCACCACAAAGCTGCATGTACTGGCAATATAAAAATCCTCATTACCAGCAGGGATGGTGTAATGAACGTCCTTTTTATCTTGGGGTTTTGTCTGATAATGAGCAATAATTTTTTAAACACTGGATTTGATAATTTAAAAACAAGTGGAAGTTCTTCACTGATGAACACACATGCTGCTAATTGTCCAGTTGAAAATGCTGGTTACATGGGGCCTCCCAAAGTAGCAAACCAGAGCTTTTATTTGTTTATACCTACAACGTTTGAAAAAAAATATTTATGAGCTGTTTTTGTTTGTCAGTCTTCCTGGGAAGCATTTTTGTCAACTCAGAACAGCAGTGAAAGCTGAGTTTAATAAAGAAAACATTACAAAACCAGCCTTTCTTATTCTCTCTGTGAACCTATCCAGGTAACAATGTTTATGTTGACTGCTGATAGCAAAAGGGTTGGGATATTTGTAGAGCCTCTGCAGCTTGTTCTCCACACAGTTTAAATTGCCTGTTGACTTAGGAGAGTTGCATTTGCCAGCCTAAGACCAAAGTCTTTGTAGGAGATGATGGGGATCAAATTTAATTTCAGTGGGATTTGGCATTAGGTACCCATTTCCTACTGATTTATTTTTTTTTCTAGCAGGAGTTCAGCTGCCCTTTGCTAAACCTCCCGTGTTTTTATAGAAAATAAACTTTGGTGCACGACAAATCCGGGGTTTGATTTGAACAAATTGTGGAACAGAGAGAGATCCGTGCCAAGGTGCCTGATGTCACCCAGAAGTCACTTTACAGTGCTACCTGTTATTCAAAACCACCTGAGGAGTTTGGGAACCTCAGAGGCAAGAAGAGGAATCCTTTTGGCTGTGCTGCTCTTTCTGAGCACGGAGGTCAGCGTCCAGCAGTGCCTGTGCACAGCTGCCCCTCGCTGTCACCGCTGTCACACCGGTTCTCATGTCACCAAAATGAATTTTGTTGGAACTTAATAGGGCAGACTGCCCAAAAGGGACGATAATCGGGATCTCTGAGTGAGTTTAGCTGCTGAGGTAAGGTCCCAGGTGGGGAAGGCGCTGAATTTCTGAGTGCAGCCACAAGGAGGAGCTGGAATTTTTTGGATGAGAGCGGAGCCGCTCCTTTCCACACTCGGGGAGGAGTAACCGGGCTCAGAACTTGAGTTTATGGACCGATCATAACAGGAACAGAGAAGAGGAGCCGCTCCTTTCCACACTCAGGGCTCAGAACTTGAGTTTATGGACCGATCATAACAGGAACAGAGAAGAACCTGTCAGTCCCAGCAGTCAGCTAAAACTGGTCATGGGGTATCCTGAAAATACTGCAGAACAGCCTTTGGTGGAGTAGAAGGATGAAGAGCTTTGGAAAATCTGCAACGTGAAAAATGATAGGAACCAGCAGAAATTGTTTCCATAAGATCCAAGCTCAGGTTGGTCATTCTGTCCACCTCCATAGGAAATGTCCTTGCCTGCTCTCGGGATAGGAGACCAATAAACTGTATTTTAATTAGCAAAATGCAGAGAGCAATTTGCCCTTTCTAAATTCCATAGAAAATACCAGGGAGATGCACAATGGTCCTGGGTCAAGGAATTCCTGCCCTGAGAGAGCGATTCCCTCCTTCACCAGAAGCAATTTGGGATTTGATGCTCCACCCGGGCCTCCAGCTGCTATTCAGATGGGCTTGGGCCCCCCACCTGATACTTGGGGAAACTTCTTGGGATCCTGCATGTCCCAGGTGCCTCTGGGGAGCCACACTCTGTTGGATTGAGTTCTGTTCTGACCCAGGGATGGGCTAACTGAGTGGAGTTTTAAAAACTTTTATTCTATTTTTAGTCTCATAAGAAGGGTGAGACAATACAGATGTTATAATTCACGTTATCACAATCAGAAGCTATTTTTAAATTATAACACGTTATAAGTGTTTCTTGGCCTATCAGCTTTTGCCACACCATGCTGTAAATGCCTTAAACCCAATAATCTAAAATTACCCCTGGTGTGTCCCACTACAATGCATCTTTCATAGTTCTATTTCTCCAAAGTATTTCTCCTCCAGCCTTATTTGCAAGGCCATCCTTTGAAACTTGTTTTTAGTCCTATTTCTCTCAGCAATGTCTGTCCCTTCCATGGCATTTCTAAGTCAGCATTTCTTATCTCAAGGCTTGCACACGGATGTACACTGTGAGAGCCTTCTGTCAGGCTTTGAGAATTCCCTACAAATCCACTTCCCACAGGCATCCTGCATGTCCCAGGTGCCACTGGGGAGCCAAACCCTGCCCATGTCTAGGGAATGTTCCAGCAGCCGCCTGGGATGCAGTGGCTGTAGGAGAGCCCAGCCAACACCAGATGCCACTGTTCCCTCAGCATGGGAAAAATCCTGTTTACGATGCAGGGGAAATATTCCCAACCTTTTCTTGCATGCATCGAGTCTCTGGAGCCTGCAGGAACTGGCTCTCTGTTAAAGGTTGGGGTTTAGACACTCAATAATGACTCTGGTGCTTTCCAGGAGAGCGTGCCCAGCCCATCTCTCTTCCAGGGCTGGGGCCAGGGCCTCTGCTCCTGCTTGGAAATGCCACTTGGCCTGAGGCTGGCTGCTGCAGGGATTAGCATGTCCACTAAGAACATTCATTTTTCTAAGTAGAGGGTGATTTTGGTATCCCTTGCTTCAATCATGAAAGGAAAAAGATCAATAATTCTTTAAAATGAGTGATGTGAGGGGGTTTAAAGTACATCTGGGTTTATTTGGCTTTCAGATATTTTTTCTCCCTCAACTTGACATTGCATTTAGCTAAAATTTCATCAGAAGAGAAAGAAAGAAAAAAAGTGACCCTTCTTTTTTTTTTTTTTTTTTTTTTTTTTCATTTAGCCGCCATGGTTATGCTTCACTTGGGTTTCTTCTCCTAGGATCAGAGGATGGTTGGTTCAGAAGAGACCTTAAAGATGTTCCACCCCTTGCCATGGGCAGGGACACCTTCCACTGTCCCAGGTTGCTCCAAGCCCCGTTCAGCCTGGCCTGGAACACTTCCAGGGATTGAGCAGTCACAGCTTCTCTGGGAAAAATATTTTAATATTTTTTGTGTCATGGGGAGCAACACTGGAGAGTTCCCTTCCTCCAAATTAAAGCTAGAAAGTAAGCATAGTGCAATTAATAGAGACAAGCTAGGAAAAAAAAATCAGTTTACAGACCGTGTTGATTGTGCATATGCACGTGAGGTTTCTTCTTTGTATTCCTAGCTTTTTTTCCTAGGACATACATCCTGAATTCGGCAGGATGAGCAAAAGAAAAACTGAAGCGTGGTGGAAATTCAGCTGTGAGCTGTAAGCCAGGCAGAAGGTGGCAGTGCAGGCGTTTGGTAAAGGCTGGAGCAGCAGCAGGCAAAGGAGATGGGATGCAGTGGCCTGGAAGGGGTCTGGCTTATCCATTTTACTTGTTAGGGATGTAAATCACAGACCAAGTTCTGATAAATAATGAGAATGGACACGGGAAAGAAAACTGTCATCTTTTAAATTTCAGCTGTAGGAAAAATTACCATTTCAAACTGCTCAGTTTCAATCATTTCCAACGTTAGAAATTCCAACACTTACATGCTCTTCCTGGAGGGAAAGCATGTACTTTTCTGGTCTAATGAGGATCACTAACGTTGAGTGACTGGCCACAAAGCAGCTCTCCAGAAGCATTCCTTTGAAGACAAGCAACCATTTTTTTTGTGTGGGGAATCCTTGTTGAGCAAGTTGTGGATTATCAAAACCATTTCTTTGCCTTAAAAATCACCGACCTTGTGGACACATCCACCAGGAAGCTGTCCTTGCAAAGGGGAGACCATGGAGAAATCTCTTGATAAAACCCTAAGGAAAGACTGGCAGAGCAAAAGCTTGGCTGCTTTGCCTGTCTGGTTTGGTCTGATAGAATGTGCTACACCTCTCTGTAAGCCTTGTCCTTACTCTTGGGGACAACAGAGGTTTTTCAGGGTGGTAATGAATTTAAGTGAATATTTTGTTGGACTTGGATTAGGAAAGGGAGACACCACAGAGGCCGTGGATGCCCTCCATAGGATCTCAGCAGCATTAGAATAAACAGATTTAGGCAGCCAAAGATATGAATAGATGAGATAGAGATAGAGATAGAGATAGAGATAGAGATAGAGATAGAGATAGAGATATAGAGATGATAGAGCCCCATGGCTGGATGGAGCTTGGAGCAGCCTGGGCTAGTGGGAGGTGTCCCTGCCCATGGAAGGAGCTGGGCTTGGAGGCCCCTTCCAACCCAAACCATTCTGTGATCTCAAAGCAAAGGCAAGAGGGCAGCAAATGGAGGCCCAAGAGGCCCAGGCCCAGCCCAAGGGGAGGGCAGAGCGTTTATTTGGGGTGTGCAGAGGGTACAGCACTGCTGCCAGGATCTGTTGTGATGGTGCAGCATCATCTGGGTAGCAGCAGCAGGATGAAATGTGGTTGTGCATGCCCCAACAACCACCAGCAAAACTCCTGCCTGAGGAGAGTCACCAGCACGTCAGAAAGAAGGGAGATTTATGAAAGGATGTGTTACTAAAAGTTTTTCCTTCCCAGAGTGGCAGCCTTATATCTGCAAAACTGCTGGGATTCTTTCCACTGGCTTCAACTGGGTTTGAGTCAGACTTTGGAGACACAAACACCAGAGCAAGTCCAGACACATAAACATATGTTTATGACACTGGAGTCATAAACAAACCTCCTTCCAGCTGCCCATCTACTCTTCTTCTGCACCAAAGTCACAAAAATAACCAATATGGTTCTTGAGAGGACTTTTTACAAGGGATGAGAGGATCTACCTGTACTTCCCTAAAGAACAATAATAAAAGCCCAAATAATTTCTCACAGCCAAGGGATCATAAGGAAAATTCAGGCTGGAGGAGACCTCAGCAGGTTCTCTCAGCCAACCTTCTCCTTTCTTGAAACCATCTTCTCTCCCCTTTTGAAAATGGCATGAGAAACTTGTATGGAAAACATTGTTGGGATGCACAGTGTTTCATCTCTCCAAAGCAGTACTGGCTGGTACAAAGAGAATAAATTTATTTTTGTTTGAATTAAGAGGAATAGAAGATCTGTGAAGCCCGTCTGGAGGGCAGGTTTGGAATGGATTCACCCCTCCATGAAACACTGCTTTGATACCTGTAACTCAAGTGACCACAGGTAGCTTTAAAGGTGCATTTTCCCATTCCTCCTTAGGTGAAGGGGCTGGAGGGAGGAGTGATGGGAGCCTGGAGCCACCCAGGGTGATAGAATTGGTGGCAAAATGCTCTTCCTGTGCTGGAGGTATTGTCAAGGTCTGGATATTTCTGCATCTGTCTTCAAGTAAAGCTTTGTATCTCTAAAATGTTCACAATGCTATTATCCAAAAGACT